ACTAACATCAGCATAGAGGGTGCTAGACCAGCAACAGCAGATCTCCTTATCTTCGCCAGGTTACACTCGGTGTGTTGTGGCAGTGCGTTGCTTACGTAATTATTTCCATCAACGAGTCACATATTGACAGGAGAAATCAATGACGGCCTACGCTGTCCACCAGCCGTTAATGAAGCCAGAGGTACCTGAATTATTCATCGGGTGATTGTCTTACCTGTGCTAGTGGTGTTACATGTTGTGATTGCAAATATGTACAACAGCTCATTGATTATGGCCGTTCTAATACAGTGTTCTATCCGGTCTGACATTCACAGTGTTTGAAATAAACATTTTCAAGAGTCTATTTAGGTCTCCCAAAATTTAAAAAAATAATTCAAGAATTTCAGTTATTCTTATCAGATATATTAATCCATGAAGGCATTTAAATTGACACGACATAACGTTTGTTTGTTGTTTAACCCTGCACTCAGTAACATTCCAGCTGTTTTACGGCGCTCTGTAAATAATAGAGTCTGAACCAGACAATCCAGTGACTGAAATATATATTTCAATTTAATGTTTATCAAACGACTGGCCCACATGACTTACAAACTTTGGTTTAATTTGTTGTTTTTCGTTTGGTTTGCTTTTTGCCGCCATGTGTAAGTAGACCAACTACACAAGTAATTCTACGCCCTGTGGTTTATAACAGCTTTTTGGGGGGCGGATGCTTTTTAACGAACAAGTTTACATAGGATTCAAGCTTAAAGCCGGAAATCCCGATATATGCTTACTTATATGGCATTCAGATTTGTTTGTTTTGTATTAATTGTTTAACGCCGTACTCAGCAGTATTCCAGCAATATGTCTGACCAGACGATCACGTGCTGTAAGGAGCGGAATCACTTCCCGCAGCCCACGATGAGCGTTCGCCTCCTTGCTGTGTGGCCTTGAGAAGGGAACGTTAATAATTCAACGGACTTGGCACTGGCAATATGAGACGGACATGGCCTACTCCCAACACGATGACCAGTACATTCATTCGTAACCACACATGTGGATTTTGACCAGTCCTTTCTTTTCATAAAGGCATGGTTATCTCCAGGGGTCGCATTCAGTAAACCTACCCTATCCCTTGGTCACATTCCCGTGGTTCTCGCGATCTAAAATTACCCGCAAAAACAATTACGGGTCATTAATGATAAAAAAATATTACTTATTTATTTATTATATATTTTTATTTATATTATATATATGGTCGTAACAGATTCTTCTACTCTTACATATCAATTATTTCTAGTTCTTTGTGGATCCGATAATCCATGCAATTCAAATCTGTCTGATAATGAATTAACCATCAAAAGAGCGGCCTGAAATTATACACTACAATAAACGGGTATGAATCTTTCAAATCACACAAACCTTCAACCGACGACCTTTTGTACATCCAACTCAACGATTATCTTCAATTGTTTATAAAACTAGAGATATCAGTCATAAATAATCCATTCCACTTAGCTGCTTAAAATCTATGTCTACCGTCATAAGAATTTAAGTAACAAAAGTCAGAGCCAATCTGTACCATGGGCAAGGGTGATGCATTGGGTTCCGCACGTCGCTGTGCAGAGCTGAGTTCCTTTTCTGCGGTTCGAATCCTAATTTCGTCCCGATAAAAGTCTTGGGATTATCAGCACATTAGGCATGAACGTTGATTTCGGCAAAGTCGTAAATATACTCCTCATAGGAAGTTAAGGAGCACCCGATTGGTTTTTGTATATGACTATAGTTAGTGGGTATTGCAACACACTTATTGTGGGTGTATCAATGAAATATACTGTTCAGAGCGGCGTTAAATCCCACTCACTCATTCAAGTCGTCTAAGGCGCCGCGATTCGCTGTGCAGAGTTGCGTCCCTTGGCCACGCCAGAAACCTATCACTGTGGGTTCGAATCCCGGTTCGCCCCGATTATGTTTCCAGGTTTGTCAGCTCCATACCCGTGCTCGTGGGTTTCACCAAAAACGATAAACGTCTGAGACTCGCATCTCTTCGGGCTTTCCTCCCACATGAAGCTGACACGCCGTGATATAACTGGAATTCTGTTCAAAGCGGCGTTTAACCAACACTCATTCAGAGTCCAGTGGGTTTTAATTGAAGGGATATAGAATACACGTTTGTGAGTTGGCTAGTCTTGTCGAGGCAGTCTTAGTTATTCCCACGTCACTTTTATAACGGACGCCTGATGGTCGAGTCGTCTTAGGCGCTGCTATTCGCTGTGCGGAGTTGCGTCCCTTAGGCATGTCAGAAACCTTTGTTCGTAGGTTCGAATCCTATCTGGTTGTGAATTTTTGTTATTAGGTTCGCCAGCACCTTGCTTGTGCTCGTATGAGTTTGACTAACGTGGTAGACGTCTAAAACATCTCACATCATGCAGGTAAGTAACTAGGATATTGTTCAAAGTAGGATAAGATAACGTTCCATTGTTTAAATTGAATGACGATATGGATATTAATGAAAACAGCATCCGGGCAAAAGTATACCGAGGTTGTGTTTATGTTAATGAAAATTGAAACAACTTTTGCTAAATTTGCTTATTAACCATCACTCATTCCAGCAACATTTTGTAAAAAGTAATCTGTGGATTGGTAATTCATGTAAAGTTAATTGGTTCAATGAAGACTGGGGTCAGAAATTAATTTGCAACCACGTGACCACCCTCGTGTTTGAAATGTTTCAAATGTGTACCGAAAAAAGCAAATTTATTAATTTTCAAAGATAAGATGTCAAAGAAAGCAATCAGAAGTTGTCTATTATGCGAAACTGTTTATTTCGTTTACGTTTTTCAGTAGAATATGTTGTATATATGCACCGTATATCAGTTTTATGGGCGTGTCAGCTTCCTGTGGGAGGAAAGCCTAAAGCAGTGCATGTCATAGACATAGCCTTCGGTTGCAAAATGCGATTTTTGCGCTACGACTATCGTAAGTCTAGCAAATGCACCTCTATACATATGTGTGTGTATTTGCATACGTGTGTAAATATATATGTGTGAGTATACTTGTCATGTGAACACGTTTCCTCGTGCACCACGTGTACGTTTATGCAGAGATATATGGTCTCTGGTTTATGCTAACGCCAGATGATGATCTAACTGATATATCTGTTGATTTGCCAACACCAAATAGATTGTCAACAGTTCTGTATTCTGAAGATGATACTATTCAGTATACAGCAATGCCAACTTTTATCGGGCATCTAGAGCTGGGTGGAAAGTGTTTTCTTTGGGTTTCAAGGAGTTAAAAAATGTGTACAGATTAAATCAAACACATGCTGCTTTATGCGAATATTTTTGTAAGGTAACTCTTTTGTCATTTCACTTTGAATAGAAAACAACCTTTTCATGTTGGAAGTCAAGAATAGACTGGTGAATAGCTGTGCCTTATCCATTTACAGACCTCATTTACACACCTTAGTTAATATTCATGTGAACGCATAGAAAATTTACATATACACACATATGTATAGTTACACATGTGTAAAAATACTTATGTGTGCCCTGTTTTTTTCAAAAAATCAATCATAGCGCAAAGACGTTTTTAACTCCCATTCTTTATCATAATGTTACCGCGTTCACATTCACAACATTTACTAACGTAAGTAATTTTGCACATGTATAACTATACATACGTGTGTATATGTTAATTTACTATGCGTTCACATGAAAATCAACTTAGGTGTGTAAATAATGTATGTAAATTGTGTAAGGCACACATATTCGTCAGTTTACGATTTTCAACACAAAATAGGTTGTTTTCCAATCAAAGTTGAATGAGAAGAGAGTAACTTCACCGAAAATCTTCGCGTGAAGGAACATGTTTCTTAAATTTGTACAAAAAGTTTTGACTCCTTCAAACCAAAAGAAAACTCTGTATATACGCATAAAAGTTGACTGTTGACAATTTGTTTGTTGTTGGCAAAAGAACAGATATTAATTAGATCATCTTCTTACGTTAACATAAACGTTCACATTGTAATATACACACAGTGCAAATTGACATTTACATTTGCACCTGCTTCAGACATGATGCAAATTTGTTCCTGGTGTTAATATTCACACATGAGTAAACGCTTTCACGTGACAAGTATACTCGCGTATGTATTTATACACACATATGTTTAGAGTGAGTATGGTTTTAACGCCGCTTTTAGCAATATTCCAGCAATATCACGGCGGGGGACACCAGAAATGGGATTCACACATTGTACCCATGTCGGGAATCGAACCCGGGTTTTCGGCATGACGAGCGAACGCTTTAACCACAAGGCTACCCGGCCGCTCCACATATGTTTAGAGGCGCGTGTGAACGGGGTAATAGACTTACGACAGTCTAGCCCATTGTGGGACGTGGTATGGGGCCCTGACTGGCAAAGGTTAACAATTCTTGGATTCGACTGGACTCCACTCGTGTCCACGAGGAGAATCGAACCAGCGCCATTGGCGAGCGAACGCTTGAACCACTTGACTACCCAACCGCACATGCACTCAGTAAAGAATGACTCGTATTACACCTCGCATATTAACGGTAACCAAGGTAACAGGAGTTTTCAGTAACACACATTATGGATACTGTGATACCTTATTCATTACTCAAAATAATGTACTATCGGCCGCTGTGGACTTACATTATCTTGTGATATGTATAAGGAATATGCGAACATAATAACGGAGCATATATTAGTGGCACGTATAATATGGGAATGAATAATGGAAAAGGCTACAAGGTGTGCGAGAATATATTATTTAGTACTAGAATTTGAATCTTCCGTATCTCCAGGACTCGTATTTGGGCAAACCTACACTAATCATGGATTCATTCCCGTGGTTTGTAACTCGCATTCTGATTGGCTATTAATGGAAATCAAGGGCGGGTAATTTGACATCGCGAACCACGGACTTAGATCCAGGAGTGAGTGAGGTGTTCCCGAAATGCGACCCCTGGAGATAAAAAGGCAAAAAACTTACCAATTCCAAGCGGCGCCTCTTCATCTTTGCCTGGTTTACCGCAGTAGTCTTTGTCGGCGATGTATGCGACGACAACGAGGATGGGGAAGAACAACAAGGTGACAATGGCCTCCCAAAGGTCAACGTAATCGGGTGTTATTCCTATGAGGATGACCAACAGCCAGAGATACGCGAACAGGCTGAAGAGGCTAGTTACTGCAAACACTTTTACGTTCTTGATCAACCTCTTTTCAGCGTCCGGGACAGCAACAATACACATAGCTGTGATCACCAAAAGGTTGAATGCTGCAGATCCCACGATGGTACTGGGGCCAAGATCTTTAGATTTAAAGTCATTGAAGGTGACTTCTATAACGGATAGTAAGATTTCAGGGGCACTCGACCCCAGCGCCATTAACGTCAAATTGGCCACAGTGTCATTCCATACTTTAATCTCGACATCAATATACCCGGTGGGTGAGGTAGAAGAGTGGATCCGAACCGGTCTAGTCCTGCTGGTGATGGTTTCTATAGCTCGCATGAATATGTCTGCAACAATAGACACTGCCATGAAGCTCCATAAGAGACCAATGAAATAAATGGTGGCTCGCGCGGCTATCGGCCATGTGTACTCATTGACGAAGGGCATCAGGAGCCCTGAATCTGAGCACTTGTAGCTGTCCACATTACACGTGGAGGTGGACGTGTTCGGCATGGTGGCGGTGTGGTGTCGTCTGGTACCTTCACAGGGAACTGTCGTCTGCTACTTCGACGAGAAACTGTCGTCTGCTTCTTTCAAATGGAGTCTGCTTGGTGTTCATCTGGAAGACATGGAAACAGAACAGGCATTCACAAGATAATTCAGCTTTCTTCTTCATTTATGATCTGTAATCACTTCAGACGGACAAGGGAGTGTGACGTCTTTCTGTAGCAAATTAATGTTTCACTCTGATCTACTATTCTCAATGCTTTACGTACGCTGAAAAACAAAACCAGGAGCACTTATTGATGCAGCCGTATACATTTCTCACTGTATGTATATGGACAATAACGACGCACCTGTTACATCATCCATCATACTTGCAATGAAGAACTACAGCATCCCTCCACAAAGAATGTATAGGCAGACAGACCTACAGATGGGTAACCTCATGTCATGTATAACGGGTGTGTTTCTTTACTGAAGCACAGGGTCAAATAGCTCCACATATGCTTATTTCTTATAGACGTGTTGATTGGTTTGTACTTAACGATAGTTATCCATCTCTATGAAAATAATCGAGCCTGGACCAGAAAAAATAAAAGCGACCAAACCCTTTCCATATTCATAAGAAATCTCTGCTAAAAGCAGAGTCAATTGTACAATTCCGACTATATCATGAGCATGTGGTAATGAATCTCCATCAAACAGTGATGACACCGATTGTTCGCGAAAAGGTGAGCGTATCCTGTCACAAGCCCATGCAAAAGCAAGTCACTTGGTCACTTGAAAAAAAACACGGTAACATATGGTTCAAGTAAAAAAATAGGATGCTTCAAATTTTGAAATGTCATCCACACGCCTCCCATAAAAAAAATTTAAAAGCTTTTACCGAGGCCTTAAATATTGTAACCTTGACCAAACAGCCTGTGCACAAGCGTCGTATGACGCTCTTTGAAATGTCCGCAGATGGAGCTGCTCGATTGTTCCTCAAATATTGCGAAATGTGGACTCCAAAGGCTGGAACTGCTGGAATATTGTTCCACATAAATGGAGGGTTGACTATTGTGAAAAACATTCCCCTTGTCATACAGTAATGTGGAGAGTATCATGTCATTCTGAATCTTTATGCATAGATCTAAATATGAAACAGATGAGGGGGTCTCACTGGTATCCTTTATCAGCTGGGTAAGTCAGGGGAAGGGAAATGACTATTTGATGTTTATTGAATGATATCAGATCATCGATAGACTTGAAGCTTGGGTTAAACTTCTTGGCCAAATTACCTTGTTTTGACTTTGACAATCCCAGCAGAAATTCCGATCCATATGCATAAAGTAACAGATCAACAAGGAGAATACAGTTGGTGTTCATGGAGACAGCGTTAGAAATTGGCACTAGTCCTGTAGTCCTTACCAAACTGCCCAATGCTTAAGGTATCCTTAGGACAAGTAGAAATTGGCCAATTTTAAGGGTTTTGCTGTATGTTATCATTATGAGGACTAGTGGACAAAAACTGTTAGTTTCTACCCCTGGGAGATGCCAACTTCTTGCAGTGATTGATATTATGAGTAACGTCCCAGGTCGTCGGGGTACGATGACACCCACAGTCAACCAAGTCAACGAGCCTTACGACCAAGCACAGTCCATCAGAGAGATATCGTTCATTCAGATATACACCCGATACAGACAGTATATAAGGGAGATATCGTTCATTCAGACATACACCCTAAACACACAATATATCGAGTAGACATCGTTCATTCAGATATACACCCGATACAGACAGTATATCAGGGAGATATCGTTCATTCAGACATACACCCTAAACACACAATATATCGAGTAGACATCGTTCATTCAGACATACACCCGATACACACAATTTATCGAGTAGACATCGTTCATTCAGATATACACCCGATACAGACAGTATATCAGGGAGATATCGTTCATTCAGACATACACCCGATACACACAATTTATCGAGTAGACATCGTTCATTCAGATATACACCCGATACAGACAGTATATAAGGGAGATATCGTTCATTCAGACATACACCCTAAACACACAATATATCGAGTAGACATAGTTCATTCAGACATACACCCTAAACACACAATATATCGAGTAGACATCGTTCATTCAGATATACACCCGATACAGACAGTATATCAGGGAGATATCGTTTATTCAGACATACACCCGATACACACAATTTATCGAGTAGACATCGTTCATTCAGATATACACCCGATACAGACAGTATATCAGGGAGATATCGTTTATTCAGACATACACCCGATACACACAATATATCGAGTAGACATCGTTCATTCGGACATACACCCGATACAGACAGTATATCAGGGAGATATCATTCATTCAGATATACACCCGATACAGATAGTATATCAGGGAGATATCGTTCATTCATATATACACCCGATACAGACAGTATATTAGGGAGATATGGTTCATTCAGACATATACCCGATACAGACAGTATATCAGGGAGATATCGTTCATTCAGACATACACCCGATACACACAATATATCGAGTAGACATCGTTCATTCAGACATACACGTACAGAAAGGGCATCTATACACATATAGGTCAGTGGGAAGATAGGGCTTAGGCCGCGTATGGTTTAATAGGGCCATTCAGAAGTGGCCCATGTTAAGCCATTCAACCGCGTTGTTCAGGAACACGGTCGCACGACATTCGACCTACTCATACGTTTAACAACCAGGCAACAGGGCGAGGTAAAAGAGAACGCACTTAGCGGTGAATACTGTAAGATTTAAATTTCTTCTGTGCCCAACCTTTACTGTGGCTTTGGAGTCAACAAATAATCAACGCTTATGGCAACAGGTAGTCAATGTTCCCATTACAGTTAATCCCTATAGAGAACTGTACCCCACAACGGTGCGCGTTAACCAACAAACGCTTAAGGCGCCTTTACACAGGGCTGCGACCTTTGTGCCACCTTTGAACGATCAAAAACTGGCCAGGACGCTCATGGTCGCCTAACCCAGAAAATCATGTTTCTATGTAACTGCTCGAGTTGTTAAGCGTATGCAACCACAATGAAACACTGCAGGTACAAGCCCTCTATTTATAGGCATGCTGAGGAGGCACTACAGGTAGTTTAAAGGAGCCAGAAAAGAGGCAGAAGCATTGCCATGGTGTCTCAAGGGTTGCCGTGGTCGCCGAATGGAGGCACGGCGGTCGCCACAGTCACCGTTCAATGCACTCTGTTGGTCGCCGAAAGGAGGCACAAGGGAGGCAGAAGCATCGCCAAGATTGACGGGAAAATATTTTAGCAGAACGCATCTATTACCTGGCGATCATTGGGCGACCACTGTGCCTTCATTCTGCAACAAAGACAATGCCTGTGCCTCCCTTCTGCCTCCTTTGAGCCACCTTTGAGCAACCAACCTCCTTGGCGACCTTTGTGCCCCTTTTTTGCACATGTTCAAAAATTTACGGCAACCATGGCGTCCATGGCGATGTCTGAACCTCCTGTGTACCGCCTTGGAACGACCTAGGCAACCATTCTGCCTCCTTTGAGCCTCCAACGACGACCTGGCAAATTTTAAGGTCGCACACGGGAGGCACAAAGGTCGCCATCCTGTGTAAAGGCCCCATTACGACCATTTTCCAGCGTTTAGGTCCGAGCCTGCCTGACACCACCCTCGATTATCCAGTGCACCATAGAGCTATACACTGGATATTTCAGGATGGCCTGCACGAGCAAAATAGCACGACACCAAGATTGCCTTCTTTGAGCACTCATCTACAAACTGCCATATATATTTATTCAGAACAGTATTTGATACAATATTCCTTTACCATAAATCTATAAATTTGTAATGTGTGGTACAGTTAAAGGGTTGAAGGGCAGGAAGTATCGGCTAATGGGTACATTTGCATCTCAAATGCCTACATACCATAGTAAGCTGAGTGCGGCAGTACGAAAAAACAACAATAAAATTTATCAACAGTTTCATCAATTCATTGTCGATTTAAAACCCATCCCGATAAGAGTCTGACATATAACAAAATCGGGGGTAAAAATACTTCAACTTCAGAACTACACGTATGTATTTCTCGCGTGTTCGGAAATAGAATTATAAAAAAACAGTCTGTTTACACAAGTGGCGAATAAGTGGGTGAGTGAGTGAGTGTGGTCTTACGTCGCTATTAGCCTTATTCCAGCAATATTACTGCGGGGTGACCTGAAATAAGCTTCATATATTGTACCCACATGGGGAACGAACCATGGCCTTCGTCGTGCCGAGCGAACGCTTAAACCACTTGGCTACCCCACCGCTTCAGCTTGTGAATACATGAGTTGAGTTTAACTCCGCTTATAAATTTCAGAAATATCTGGGTTTGGAAGATTAATGTGGGGGAAAACCCGGCGCGATGCAGGCCTTAGACGTTAGACGGCTATGGCTCGAAACCAAGGATCATTGTCAGAGCACATTTCGGATTCGAACTCACGATTGTAGGATGCTTGCATGCATAAGGGACGCGACTCTGCACAGCGTATTCCGGCGCCTTAATCGAAAGGCCATCTATGCATATAACACCGTGTAGAATAAATAATTTCATCAACAGCCTGACCACCCGATCCCGTTAGTTGTAAGAGGCGACTAACGGGATCGGGTGGTCAGGCTCGCTGACTTGGTTGATGCATGTCATCGTATCCCGATTGCGTGGATCGATGCTCATGATGTCAATCACTCGATTGTTTGGTCCAGACTCGATTATTTACAGACCGCCGTCATATAGCTGTGATATTGCTGTGTGCGGCGTTAAACAACAAACAAACAAATAAATCAACACTGTCATCTTTTCACACCTATTGCTTTGTTCATTCGATCAACCACTAATTTACCCGATCAATAATCTTTTCAATTAACAAACGCTGTTATGAAATGTGATACCCCTGAAACTCACCAGCACCAATATGACGTCACGGTTGGCGGGTGTATTCATACATATGTTTTAGTATATATCAATACTGTTTATTGGCTCAGAGCCATTCACTCGACATAAACGTATACACTCAATGACAATCTCCCACCCCACACAGAATCTGGCACCTCGTTACTACCATAACACGATGTATATAGGCGGGTCTGCTTTATTTGAGTATATCTTTTCTAATCGCTTGTAGCAGTAAAAATAGAATGGTGTCGTTCGAAAATTATTCACGAGAGTTAAGTAGGCGGGCGACATTTGTGAAAGTGAAGCAGAAAAAAATTAAATGAGGGGAATATTATCAAATCTAATATTTTCGATGAACAGAAGCAGTGAATATTTTTCGTTTAATAAATAGAATCAACTTTTCATAACGATTTTCTGTTTATCGCTTGTTTCCTTTCAGCAATATATTTTAATTATTTAAAAGATTGTAGATAAATTAAAATATCAACAATTTTTGTTGTGTTTTTTTTTAAACCAGAAGTACTTAAATTTCGTATACAGGAACTTTTTGAAATGAGTTTTCATGCATGCTGTGTTTTACAAGTTGTGGATTTTAAAGATGTAAGAAATACAATCCAGACTGCAAAAATATAACAAAGTATAACATGACCAAAAATATATTTCACAAAGTTTAAGTACAAATACAAAAAAACATCGGTTTGTGTAACTGTACATATCACAAACAGTAAACAAATGCTTATTAGAATATGCATGTAGTTTCATTAAACAGAACTTTAATGTGGCTTGTCTGATGTTTCTCTTATCAGCTGTGTTAGCTACAGGGTGTAAATGACTCCACTCTCCATACATGATAATATGAGTAAAGATCTGAATCCCTAATAGAATCTATACTGACTAACCAGTATCCCTACAATCCTGTTGCTACGCACGAACATCTCACCTTTAAACACGATAACTCTTCGGCTACACATACATATATTTTTTCAGGGATTAAGATAATCCTCCAAATCATACTGCCATGGTAACGCTTTCTTCCGTCCATTGTTTTCATTACTATTATTGATCCCATAGTCTACCCGTTTCACTCACCTGTTTCACTCCCCACTCGCCAGCGTTAAGGACTGGTTTCCAGCGTGTTTATCTTTGTCGCTAGCACGGTGCAGTGCCGACGTTACGCGACCCTCCCCCGGTTGTTTTTGCCCGTCTCTCCCCCGCCCCGTGTTTTGCGCGTTGCTAGCAAACACTCTCCAATTGACGAGACATTCGTTCAGGTAATCCGCAAGGGCGACAACCGGGGCTTTCCCAACACGTTTTCCACACTGCGAGTATGATGAGGTCGGTCCACATGCGTACTTCGAATCAGATCAAATATTTATTGTATAGTTCCGAGGTACAATGTTGAGGAATATGGGGATTGTTCTGGAGAATATTGGAAAGAAACATGTTTTCACATATTGTTTCTTGCCTTTGGAGGAAACTATAAATCAATATGTGAAATATGATATGCAATTATCATCGTTTATCGAGTTTGAATGAATCAGGATTCGATCATGTTAATAATTATTATCAAATGACAACAGGTCACGTGTCACGAATGATGATGATTAGGAGGAGGATTATTATGGTGATAATAGTAATATGTACATTTGTAAAGCGCTATTTCATCACAACGCCATCTACGTTACCGTTCGACATATTCAGTTCATTGTATATTATCATCAGTCCAATACAGTAAACAACGTTTATAACGATTTGGTTTGGTTTGTTTTTTGTTTAACGCCACACTCAGCAATATTCCAGCTATATGACGGCGGTCTGTAAATAATCGAGTCTGGACCAGACAATCCAATGATTGACATCATGAGCATCGATCAACCAATTGGGATCGATGACCGGGCTTCAACCAAGTCAGCGAGCCTGACCACCCGATCCCGTTAGTCGCCTTTTACGACAAGCATAACGAACACGCTTATAACTAACAAGGGTCATTTCCTGTATATGTTTTATCATTTTATCTGTGTGTCATTGGCTGCCTCCGTGGTGTAGAGGATAAAGCGTCTGCCCGGAGAGCGGAAGCTCGGTTGTTTGATGCCGCGTCATACCAATAGACGTTACTTTTTGTTTCCCTGTCTGGCGCTCGGCATTAAGTGGATAAAACAAGGACTGGTCAGCTCGGAGTCAGAATACTGTGTCTGAGTTAGGTATTCATGTTAAACTGCGGCATGGTATCTCAGTGGGCTAGCCCTATAAAAAACGGCATTAGTCCGCAAACACACAAACGCACACACGTACATGCATTTTGTATATATACACCTCGTCAAACGTTTTGCACCACCAAAATTGATAATTAAAAAAAGAGATGGGCAAAGAGGAGCTGGAAAGTGAGTGAGTTTGGTTTTCCGCCGCTTTTAGAAATATTCTAGCAATATCACGGCGGGGGACACAAGAAAAGGGCTTCACACATTGTACCCATGTCGGGAATCGAACCCGGGTGTACGGCTTTAACTAACCACTAGGATACCCGACCGCCCCAGAAGCTGGAAAGCGAAACTAAAGCAAAAACAATGTTACTGAATGTCAAATACGATGTTAAGTTTATGAATAATATATAAAATGAGCATGTGCAAAGAAACAAAGCAACTTTATTCGCCAGTGACTGCAAGGGCTGTAATTGGGGATAAAGAGAGGCAGTATAAGTATGGTAACTGTCAGAAATGAATTGGACAAATCAACACGTACGTGTCTAAGGGGCATTCACATGGTACAGGGTTTAGTTTCACACTTGGATATTGCGGTTGATTTCATTTCGACCGTTTGTATTAGTGACTTAGACAAAATGTCAATTGATTGTTAATGGTATGATGAATTCAGGGATGTATGTATCGTAGCTGAGTGTAAAATACATGTGATGTGACAGGCATCTCGTCTGACGCGAAAAGAACAGTGATTTTGTAACGCTATCCAACATGGAGGTTCGGTCAAGAGTTTTTATGTTTCGAAAACGAATATAGGGGTATGGGAGTCTTTTCGGAATGATTGGTGTTTTTACAAAGAGCAGACACCCAATGGTTTTGTAATTGAACTTCTCGCGTAGCTATACGTTATTTGAATACATAATCACATTTAGAACAGTGAATTGGTAAAATGCGAAAATGGCATTGTTTTCGTTGTACACTATTTTCAGATGTCGTTAGTGATACATATGCTTCGGCTAAAATAGTTGTTAATGGCATCATATTATATATACTTTCCCACAGCATCTAAAACTGTGACGTGTATTTGTGTGTATGATGTATTTTAAGTTTTAGAAACGTATTATGGACCTAATCTCATCTTGGTCTATACTACAGCGTACAGTCACATAGCCTGTCGTTTCAAATAACACCATGAACAGTTTAACCAGGAGAACTAGACCGATGCAAATGTCAAAATATATAATTTGGTACAGTGGTATTCTACGTACTTACTTTTCATAGGTCCTTTATTGAGTGGTGACACTTAGGATACCGAAAACAGGAGTTACCGACGTGAATCGGCGTCGCCATTTTTGTTTACAAATTGACGTGTAAATGTCACGTGATTTTCATACGCGTTTTGATTGGCTGCGTTCATACAACTTGTCGCATGAAAATAGACCATGTCCTATTTCGTACAACTCGCGTCCAACTAATTGCATACGTCAAAAGTTTGACCGACTTGCCCGTTCACACGATGCAATGTGTTGCATGCAACAAATTGTATACAACTAGTTGTACCGTGTGAATGCCTCTTTAGTAACGTTGCACCAATGTCACAGCGTACACGTCAATTTCTGGTGTAGCCACCCCGTGCACGGATCACATCAGCAAGACGTCTCTTCGTGCTCATGTCAGACGCCTGATCCTTGTCTGAGGGATATGCTGCCATTTCTCATGCAATCTCATTAAAATCAGATCTAAGTTCTCGCTGCCGCTAAACAAAGATCTGAGGACATCCCATTGCGGGTCACGTAAGAACGACCTTTCGCGAACTTTGACCGACCACTGAAACGAATAACAAGAAGTCGATATCAGCCAATGAGAAAGCAGCTTTCCCGATCTTTACGGCACTCGTTTCAACCTGGCGACTTCCATTTCAGGCTACGCTTGAAAAATATGTTGACACAGTTCTCGATTAAAATTTTGAAAACTTAACAAACGAACATTCCGGAATGTCTAATATATGGTTGAGATTGTATGGCAGTGCTTCCCATGTACTGTGCAACGTCTCCTCCGTTCAAATCTTTATCCCACGGAAGCGAGAGACACTCGACGGAATCAGTCGTACGGGCCGTAACTGTCGTTCGGAATACCCCGTGTTAACGTTTTCGAGATTGCATGATTGGAAAACACATTCCGACTGTCACTTTCATGATCTGGTAAGCGACGCGTTGATTGGTCGGATGAAAGGTCGTTCTGACGTGACCCTTAATGGGATGTCCTCAGATCTTTGTTTAGCGATAGCGAGATCTAAGATCTGATTTTAATGAGATTGTTTCTCATGCAATGCCGTGGTCAATTCCTAGAGGAGGGTACGTGGCTCTAACACAGTTTTCCGAGCCGAGGGAGTTAACTGACTCATTATATAAAAGATGAGGTGTGATGATATGGGGTTTAACGTCGCGTCCAAGATTATTGCACTTATATAGCGACGTGCATGCGCGTGTGTGTGTGGCTGCTTGTACTAGACCGGACTGATGCCGATTTATAGTGCTATAGCACACTGAGATACCATGCCGCAGTTTAACATGAATACCTCACTAAGATACGGTATACTGACTCCGAGCCGACCAGTCCTTTTTTTAGCCCCTTAATGCCGAGCGCCACACAGGGTAACAATAAGTACCATCTGTTAACGTTTTTTGGTGTGACGCGGTCGGGGCTCGAACCCCGGACCTGCCGCTCTCCGGGCGGACGCTCTACCCCTAGACCACAGAGGCGGTCTTGACTATAAAAGAACTAGTCTGGAATTCTGGAGTTATATTTTGGTTGGACTAACAAGTCTATGCCGAGTCCAATCAATATCGCGTAACGAAATCGACATTCGATTTATAAACACCATGGCGACTGCCGTGCTTATTTTGGTCGTTTGCAGGATTTGTAGAGCACGTGTACCGTCAACTGGGCGTCGACAGATATTTTCCGATATTTTTCAAGTTTTGAATCAAGCTGCTCAATTGATTTGATGCGCATCGCGTTTTATTACACTAAAGACCTTGATTATCGATCAGATCGTCTTGACTGGGCCTGCCCTTATATTTGAGGCAAATGCAAGTGATATGAAAGGTGGAATCTGATTGGTCAATAAGAGGGACATAGAAGGGAAATAACTGATAATAGCCGCTGGTGGCGCTTCGATCAAGCCATGTAAATCCAGCCTAGTTCGGCAAGGGTGGAAACTGGACTTTTACAGTAGGTTTAACGCCCTTGCCTCGGGAAGATGGGTCTAACCCTACGTCCCAACTGATCCCATCCATTGAATTCAGATCTGGGCTTCGAGAATTCAAACTCAGAGTCTCAATGACGTTGTTCTGGAGATAATCAGTCCCAGCATGTGCTCTATGGGATCGGGCATTGTCCTCCATGAAGACAGGACAACAGAATATGGTCCAGTATGGTATCTTTGACCTTTGTCCATTTAATGTACCCTGAACTGTGACAAAATATAGTTTACAATCAAAGGAGCATCATCCCCAATCCCCATACCATCACTGAGTCGCCACCACATGCCAAGGTTTCCTGGATGTTGCGCTGATGGTAAGACGTTCCACTTCCAGACACGAGTCCTACCATCAATGTGGTGCAATATAAAACTGACTCTTGTCAGACCAATGAATCCTTCGTGACGTCAAGTTCCAGTGTGTTCAATGGTCTGGCTTGTGTTGGGGGTGAGAGTAGTGGACGTCATATTGGTCTTCTGGCCCTTGATCCTTCTGCATTCAGAAAGTATCAGTGTGCTCAATAGTCTGGCATGTGTTGGGGGTGAGAGTAGTGGACGTCATATTGGTCTTCTGGCCCTTGATCCTTCTGCATTCAGAAAGTATCAGTGTGCTCAATAGTCTGGCATGTGTTGGGGTGAGAGTAGTGGACGTCATATTGGTCTTCTGGCCCTTGATCCTTCTGCATTCAGAAAGTATCAGTGTGCTCAATAGTCTGGCATGTGTTGGGGTGAGAGTAGTGGACGTCATATTGGTCTTCTGGCCCTTGATCCTTCTGCATTCAGAAAGTATCAGTGTGCTCAATAGTCTGGCATGTGTTGGGGGTGAGAGTAGTGGACGTCATATTGGTCTTCTGGCCCTTGATCCTTCTGCATTCAGAAAGTATCAGTGTGCTCAATAGTCTGGCATGTGTTGGGGTGAGAGTAGTGGACGTCATATTGGTCTTCTGGCCCTTGATCCTTCTGCATTCAGAAAGTATCAGTGTGCTCAATGGTCTGGCATGTGTTGGGGGTGAGAGTAGTGGACGTCATATTGGTCTTCTGGCCCTTGATCCTTCTGCATTCAGAAAGTACCAGTGTGCTCAATAGTCTGGCATGTGTTGGGGTGAGAGTAGTGGACGTCATATTGGTCTTCTGGCCCTTGATCCTTCTGCATTCAGAAAGTATCAGTGTGCTCAATGGTCTGGCATGTGTTGGGGGTGAGAGTAGTGGACGTCATATTGGTCTTCTGGCCCTTGATCCTTCTGCATTCAGAAAGTACCAGTGTGCTCAATGGTCTGGCATGTGTTGGGGTGAGAGTAGTGGACGTCATATTGGTCTTCTGGCCCTTGACCCTTCTGCATTCAGTCAACGCATGATGATGCTAAGGGAGACTCTGGGAATGACAGTGATGACGGAGAACAGTGCAAGTTGCAGTTGGCAGCCGTCATGCCTGGCGTGCAAAGACCCTGTCCTCTCTGGTCCCCCCTTCCGTAGACGTCCTGATCTCGGCAAGTCCATCACATGTCCAGTCAATGTGTGTTTTCTGATGAGTCGACGGATTGCAGCATGATTAATGTTCAACACGGTGGCAATGGCCCGACATGACCTGCCAGTTTGGTGCATACCAATGAATTGCCATGTTTGATTTTCTGGAACTGTACGCTCAGGCATTTCAGTTACAGACTTTTACATTGGCAGACCTTCAAAATTAATAGCAGTAAAGACGCGTGAACGTAAACGTGTATTTCTCTATGGAGACCCCTCTGGTGTGATCGCATAAACGCACCCATAAGGTTTGGGCAGTTGAGGTGGCTACCATTCTACAGGCAGATGGTGTGTCTACACACAGTGCACCATTTGACGATCTCTACACTGAAATGAACTCTCAATTACACTTCAAATTTGTTGTTGCGATACTTTTAAACAGGTGTATAAGTGCAATAATCTCCATTTCACCTAGCCTCAACATGTCACTATTCTGACATTGGAAAGTCGGTTCCATTTATAGCGCACATCTTCATCTCCCATTGGCTACAAATCACAAGATATGTTGAACAATATATGCCAATCGCTTCCTTAATAACTTACCTATAAAAACGTATACTTTTTTTTCATTGCAACTTAACTTCGAATAAGGACTTCTGATTGAGGACAGAGACAGGTTTCGTGGGGATCGCCATCTGGCATCCTTCATTTTCATCAATCTCATTAAAATCTGATCTTAGTTTTCGCTATCGCTAAACAAAGATCTGATGACATCCCATTAGGGGTTATGTCAGAATGACCAGACTTGATTATTTTACAGACCGCCGTCATAAAACTGGAATATTGCTGAGCACGGCGTTAAACGAAAACCAAAAAAACAATCACTTGGCACCCCCGCACACATCTTTCACTGTTAGAATTTAATCTCCCGCTACCTCTCTTCTATAATAAATTACCAGTCCCTAATTCGAATTTTCTAAATCGATGTGTATTTACATAAAAGAAAAAGAAAACCACCAAAAATCCAATCTGCGATGAAAAATGTCCGATATGTTTTAGCGTGAGGTAAGCTGGCAGTTGAGGTGGTCACAGACAGCAAATGCTTATGACTCACCGTTCACGACTCAAGCAACTTCTTAGAGCTTACCATTTAGATGGACCTGCAATATTTAAGTGAAAGCTAATAAAACAACCGCAAATTAGTTTAAAATTGTGACCTGGACCCCCAATGTCAGCAAACCATGTGCCAGAAAGTGCTAGAATGCTTCCCTAGGAAAATTAGATACATCAAATCTCGGACACGAACAGCAGACACGTCCGACAAAGGTGTTTCAGATCATGTCTGTTTCTTTGCTGTTTACATCAGCACTCCGCAATGTTCAGCTGAGTAAACAGCGACCTGTATAAAATCATCACTAGACAATCCAGTTACTGATATTATGAGCAACAATGCACGCCGTCAGGTACGATGACACACAAACAACCAGGACACCGAGCTTGACCACCCGATCTATTAAGTCACGGAGATTGAACACCCGATCCATTAGGTCACCGAGCTTGACCACCCGATCCTTTAAATCACCGAGCTTGACCATCCGATCCATTAAGTCACCGAGCTTAACCATCCGATCCATTAAGTCACCGAGCTTGACCACCCGATCCATTAAGTCACCGAGCTTGACCACCCGATCCATTAAGTCACTGAGCTTGACCATCCGATCCATTAGGTCACCGAGCTTGACCACCCGATCTATTAAGTCATCGATCTTGACCACCCGATCCATTAAGTCACCGAGATTGACCACCCGATCCATCAAGTCACGGAGCTTGACCACCCGATCTATTAAGTCATCGATCTTTACCACCCGATCTGGTAAGTCACGGAGATTGACCACCCGATCCATCAAGTCACCGAGCTTGACCACCCGATCCATCAAGTCACCGAGCTTGACCACCCGATACATTAAGTCACCGAGCTTGAACACCCGATCCATTAAGTCACCGAGCTTGACCACCCGATCCATTAAGTCACCGAGCTTGACCACCCGATCCATTAAGTCACGAGCTTGACCACCCGATCCATTAAGTCACGAGCTTGACCATCCGATCCATTAAGTCACCGAGCTTGACCACTCGATCTATTAAGTCACGGAGATTGAACACCCGATCCATTAAGTCACCGAGCTTGACCATCCGATCCATTAAGTCACCGAGCTTGACCACTCGATCTATTAAGTAACGGAGATTGAACACCCGATCCATTAAGTCACCGAGCTTGACCACTCGATCTATTAAGTCACCGAGCTTGACCACCCGATCCATTAAGTCACGAGCTTGACCATCCGATCCATTATGTCACCGAGCTTGACCACTCGATCCATTAAGTCACGGAGATTGAACACCCGACCCATTAAGTCACGAGCTTGACCATCCGATCCATTAAGTCACCGAGCTTGACCACTCGATCTATTAAGTCACGGAGATTGAACACCCGATCAATTAAGTCACCGAGCTTGACAACCCGATCCATTAAAGTCACCGAGCTTGACCATCCGATCTATTAAGTCACGAGCTTGACCATCCGATCCATTAAGTCACCGAGCTTGACCACCCAATCTATTAAAGTCATCGATCTTGACCACCCGACCCATTAAGTCACTGAACTTGACCACCCGACCCATAGTTACCTCCAGCATCGTTTGCTGGGACGCTATTCTGACAGGAATCTCCACGGGGTTTCAGATATGTTTATGAATAATACCTTCAATCCTAGTAGACCTTATGAAATTGCAGAACATTTCAAAAAACAAACTTTCAAAACGTTGCTGAGGAGAAAAGCCAGACATATCAAGAATAAATAATGAGGCACATTTTCCCAAAAATGGGAGGGGAGAAAGATTTTTTTATTTTACTTATTGAAAACGAAAAGTGACGAGGAAGGAGTCTGGGAATCATTGATCAATTAAATATGTTTGATTTCACACAATTTCAGGAAAATCGTGTTTGAATTACCAAGGCATTATACTATTCTTTAGTGTCATACTATATGTTAGGGGTATATCATTTAGGCACCATATTGAATGCTTCCACAGAGGGAACTTGTAGGGTCGTAGACACATGTCGACCATATTACTCATCCAAAGGTGCCCATCTATCAATATTTTGTGATACCTTCTGGCATTAACGTCTCTCAGTAATAGGGAAGCAAGAAGACACTGGCCTGTAGATTATTGAGATTTGACCAAACCAGTGATTGATATCATGAGCAACACCCTCCACCTTGGGTATGAAAACAAGTCACCAAGCCTCATCACCATGAATTGAGTGACCTCCCACAAGCAGGATCTGATGCTGGATGGGGGTACGGCTGACCCAGTCGTCAAAGTGTGACGCGAATTGCGTTCCTTGGGCACGCCAAAACCCCATGATTTGTGGGTTCGAATCCGGGTTCGCCATGTTTTTTTTTAGATTTGACAGTACCATACCCGTGCTCATGGCTATCACCAAAGTGGTAAACGTCCAATACCTTCATCTCTTTCCTACCACATTAAGCTGACATTCTGTGATAAACTGGTAACTGCGTTAAACCCCATCTCACAGAGATGCTGGAAACCATTTCTAACCCTGAAATCCACAGGGCGTAGGTACACGTCATGTAATTGTGTAATGTGAATGAATGGTACAAGGATTGATGAACACGATTTAGAAATACCCAACCAGGAACCCAAAAATGGACGGCAGTAGAAAAATGCAATCGATTGCTCCATGCACACATTTGTTCATGCTTGGTGAAATATGGATCCACCCATAATTTGTTTTGAGTTGTTTGTTGTTTAACGCTGCACTCAGCAGTATTCAAGCTATATGACAGCGGTCTGTAAATAATCGAGTCTGGACCAGACACTCCAGTGATTATTATCATGAGCATCGATCAACAGAATTGGGACCGATGACATCAACCAAGTCAGCGAGCCTGACCAACCGATCCCCTTAGTCGCCTTTTACAAGAAGCATAGTCGCCTTGTTTTGAGTAGTACCCCGGGTACATATAAACTTACTGTGCTGCAGACCGTTTCTGCCCATGTCCCTCAACTGACACTACTAAATACTGACACTTTGCTCTATTCCTTTTCTAAAGGATGGGTACCAAGGCACTAAGGAGCTTAGCAACATGCAGTGTCTGTGGCTGCTTGTACTAGTCCATACTGATGCCGATTTATAGTGCTAGCTCGCTGAGATACCATGCCACAGTTTAACATGAATACCCCACTCAGACACAGTATACTGACTCCGAGCAGACCAGTTCTTGTTTTAGCCCCTTAATGCCGAGCGCCAGACAGGGAAACAACAAGTTTTATCTTTAACTTCTTTTGGTACAGCACGGCCGTGGATCGAACCCTGGACCTTCCACTCTCTGGGCGGACGCTCTACCACTAGACCACAGAGGCAGTCTAAGGTGACTAACAAGACCAGGTGGTCAGGCTTGCTGACTTGATTGGTTCATGTCATCTGATCCCAATTGCACAAATCACCATGTAATGTCAAACACTGGATTGGCTGGTCCAGACTTTTATTGACAGAACGCCATCAAATAGCTGGAATATTGCGGAGTGTGGCATTGACAACCAACAAACAAATCTCACAGCAACTCACTTTAAAAAACAACAAAGAATGTTGCCGACTGTTTCACTTTTTATTATGATGATGACATTATCTACAAGAAAATGATAAAATCAAACTGGTATCAATATACATTGCTTGTATAAAACACCCAAATAAAGGCTTCTTTATCAGTTCAGTATACCATACTGCAGAGACCATATACCGATACTGGTATAAATAAAACCTGAGCCAAGGGAAGTCAATTTTTGGCTCAGATGAGAAGCTTCTCAATGTTGAGCTTGGCCTGATCAATCTGGGTGCTGATCAATGAGCTCTCCTTCGCCACCACTGAGCACGCAATGACTGGGCGAGAAACACCACACGCACGACCCAAGGCTGAAACATACAAATGCAGGTTAGAGTTTAGGTCAGGCCTGTAACAGTTCCACAATACCCCTCAACAAACAAAACACAAAATCTATTTTATAATCAAACAGCATAAAGCAATGTAAGTGCATCATTCATAAGTCTTTTATTTGTTTAATTACATCAAGATTTTGCTCTGAGTGAGTGAGGTTTTAGGCCGCTTTTAACAGTATTCCAGTTATATCGCGGCATGTCAGCATGATGTGGGAGGCAGCCCAAAGTGATGCAGGTCTCAGACGTTTACAACTTCGGTGAAACCCATGAGCATGGATATGGCGCTGACAAACCTAGAAACATAATCGGGGCACACCGGGATTCGAACCCACAATCATAGGTTTCTGGCGTGCCCAAGGGACGCAACTCTGCACAGCGAATCGCGGCGCCTTAGACGACCTGGCCACCGATGCCCCATCAGAGGGAGAGTGCCGAGTCAGTCCTAAGAGGTAGGACTGGTTATGTTGCCTGCATTGAGGTGCTTGGGTTACAGGGGAAGGTAATAGAATTGAGACATGATACACTGAATAATTGAGGATGCATAAAACAGTGTGAACATAGATGTTCAGCTCTGACAACCTACCCTGCTTAGATCGGCAGAACACGTATGGCACATTCTGAAACAGCAAGGTAACATCATAAGCACCCATGCATGTATACAGTGTCAAATATTACTTAATAGGACTACAAGAACACTTATATTGTAATACATTATTATAAAAATCAGTGAGAAAAATTACCTGGAAACCAATGTATGCACTATTTTGCAACATCTGAAGTTTAGAACAATGATTACAGACAATGAACCTCTGTAAGATAAAGAGAGGCAAGGGCAGCTGTGCATATATAAAGTCAAGTCAGTTCGCAATTACACTTGAAACGGGGCAAAAATAAGGTGGAATGTGTAAGTAGGGTCAATCACACCCAGCAAAGATGTCCTAACTCTGGAGAGCATCCTCACGTCGATGGCAACCCACCTTGTCTTCACACAGCAGAGGCAAATGGAGAAGAATCTCCAGAGGCTCAGCATCAGCAGCCATCACAATGAACTCGGATATACCACGATTCAATGTCTTAGTAGCTGGAAACAAAGCAAAATGTGACAATGTCGATTTCAACTGTCGAACATGAATGTATTGCAGGGTATAGTATACTCAATCAAACTGAAATCAATTCTTGCTGTAATTTGTTAAATGATACATTCTGAATCTACAAATATCAAGAAAATCATAAAAATGAAAAATAAATCGGAATTGCCTTTTCAACTTGTGAATTATTTAACTACAACTGCTGTAGACATGGTAGAGCTTGGGCTGAATATCAGCTTCTGAAAATGACCACAAAAATTCCCTACGCAACTCAATATGACAGTTAACAGTGGAAGCTTACCTTCATTGGCCCCCTTCTTCAGCTGCTTGTAGTTAGCTGCCTGTTGGACCAGGTCCAGGATATCCTGGGTCAGCTTGGCATCAGCCAGGGGGTAAGCCTTGGGGTTAACTTCCTCTGCCTGAAACTTTTTCATAGTTTGTTATGTTGTTTAACACCATAGCAATATACCAGCTATATCGGGGCTCAAATTAATGTATAAAGCCATTGAGCGTTTCATGTTTACTAACTTTATCATTTTTTTGGGACCCGTGAAGATCCAGGGTAGGCAACCATATGCTTGTCGTAAGAGGCGACTAATGGGATCGGGTGGTCAGACTTGCTGACTTGGTTGATGCATGTCATCGTCTCCCAATTACGTGGATCAATGCTCATTACGTCAATCACTGGATTGACTGGTCAAGACTGGATTATTTACAGACCGCCATCATATAGCTGGAATATTGCTGAGTGCGGCGTTAAACAACAAACAAAATAGTTTTCTTTGAGCATTCAATATACTTCCTTTTAGGCCAGTATATTGGGTATTGAAGCTCAAAACACCAATACATGCTAAAGACACAATAAGCATGCTAAGCAAGCCATTGTATTTTTGATTGATTGATTGATTGTTGCTTAATTAACGCCGCACTCAGCAATATTCCAGCTATATGACGGCGGTCTGTAAATAATCAAATCTGGACCAGACAATCCAGTGATTGACATCATGAGCATCGATCCACGCAATTGGGATCGATGACATGTATCAACCAAGTCAGCGAGTCTGACCATCCGATCCCGTTAGTCCCCTTTTACAACAAGCAGAGTCGCCTTTTAAGGCAAGTATGGGTTGCTGAAGACCTATTCTACCCCGGAATCTTCACGGGTCTATTGTATTTTTGTGCATTAGTCACTATACCAGAAGTCATGCATACATGATGCCTGCCTTAGATCATGTTGATCAGTAAATAAAGATCAGAAAAGACATACATGTACGCAAGATGAAGCTACTTTGGGCAATCACACACAGGGTTTATATAATATGACCATTGGTCTAGGTTTTTGTATTTTTTCATCTATATTCTTAGTTCTGTGCGAAAGCAATGGAGCAATTGTGTGACCTAGATTTATTTTTTTGTATTTTAAACACAGACATAGACATACCAGTGATTGACATGCAATCAACCATGTCACTGGGTCTCAACACACTATTCATGCTATTCATTAAGCCGTTTGCTGGGTACCTATTTTAATTGATTTGTGAAGATTCCGGGGTAAGATAGGTCTTCAGCAACCCATGCTTGCCATAAAAGGTGACTATGCTTGTCGTAAAAGGCGACTAACGGGATCGGGTGGTCAGGCTTGCTGACTTGGTTGATACATGTCATCGATCCCAATTGCGTGGATCAATGATCATGATATTAATCACTGGAATGTCTGGTCAATCTGAAATCAGTTAATGTTGTAGTTCTGGTTTACATGATTACAACTCCATGCTGGATAATGCTGTGCATCACAGAATATAAGAGAACTGTATGTATATCACTGTCAGGGATATTTCTAGGGTGGGGCTTTGTGCTTTTAGCCCCTAAATTTTGAAAAAGGGCCCACATTGTCAAATACAATGGGGCATTTTAACATTGTGCTGTATGGGCAATGTATCTCTGGAATATTTGAAATTTTCACATAAAGGGTCCATGTCAGGAAATTCCTGGAGTGAACCCTGCACTGTGAATGCTCGTATTTTATATAGCATGCTAGAATACATGGGAGTAGTGCACTTTACCGGGCGCACTTTTTCAGATCCAATTAGCGCTGCGGGGGCTCGAACGCGCTTCGCCGGCTCACCGGCTCTGCTAATTAATGCGTTAATTAGCCTACGCTCTACCACTGGACCACAGGCACTATCACATGTAATTAGTGCTCGTTTAACAGGTCATTAGAATCCCCATTGACATGCATGCTTAATTCAGTAAACAATGAATTGCGCATGCGTGTGACGTCACTGCCCGCTCTCCCATTCATCTTTTCTTGAAACCACACCCACAATTGTTTATGTCAACATGACCGACCAATGGGATTAACTGGATTAACGCTTGAAAGGTAAGAATTTATGGCTAACCCTTGCCCAAAGCCAGCTGACCCTAATGACCGAAAAGGGGTTTTGGATCGAAAAGACGTGTAAGTTTCCCTAAGACCGAAAACGGGTGTTGGATCATAAAGACGTGTAAGTTTCCCTAAGACCGAAAAACGGGTGTTGGATCGTAAAGTTGTGTAAGTTTCCCTAAGACCTAGAACGGGTGTTTGATCGTAATTAAAGATGTGTAAGTTTCCCTAAGACCGAGAACGGGTGTTTGATTGTAAAGATGTGTAAGTTTCCCTATGACCGAAAACGGGTCTTGGATCGTGAAGCGAGAGTCACCAGAGCGTGAGGCACGGTAACGGTATAACGAGACAGCGGTGGCACTATAGCGCAGTAATTGAGCGGATGGTAGAGCTCGGGCTGCGCCCGGTAAACTGCATTGTTACCGAATACATTTCAAACAACAGAATGACAGTTTCGATTCAGAAACTGAAGAAAATCTTCCATTTTCAGAGTAAAGGAACAGGTATTCGGAATAGACACATCGTAGATTTGTAGGGTACTGTTCTTTTTTTACTTCAGCGCTGGTACATATCTGTAGTACCCATGCCGACAATGACTATTATTATACATATCAATAGCAGTTAATGATTACTTGTTACACAGAACAATGCCTGTGTACTCAAGACAATTTCTCAAATGAATTTTACATTTTAGTAGTTACTTAAAAGTTTATTTTTAAGATTTCGTTGGGTCATAGGTAAATTATTGAGTGAGTGAGTGAGTGAGTTTGGTTTTACGCCACTTTTAGCAATATTCCAACAATATCACGGCGGGGGACACCAGAAATGTGCTTCACACATTGTACCAATGTCGGGAATCGAACCCGGGTCTTCGGCGTGACGAACGAACGCTTTAACCACTAGGCTACCCGACCGTCCCAGGTAAATTATTGACCATAAACGTTACCAAAGTTATTTCATAAATTTCCAATTTTTCATCCTTCGGGTAAAAGTATTTTATCAAATTTTAGTTCGGATGATAAATTATCAGAGGCTGAACAGTTCAAGAACGCTAAAATAGGCGCCCCAGAAGATAATATTATTAGTTATTTTATGTATGTATTTTTAAATACATAATAATGATAACTAATAGCATAGCGTCTATAAGATAAAATAGCATCTGTGCACAGGTGTGTTTATAGTCTTCATCTTTTTTGCCTACGCGAAAACAGAGGTTCTTTAGAAAACATACTTCTAAATCATGTACAATACAACGTCGTCATGTACAAATGATTATCTCTTTGAACAATACTTACCATTTTAAACACAGACGATTAACGTTTCAATCAAATAAAACAAAAATCAACTCCTCTCTGCGATATTCGCTTCACGGAGGATTGCTGATCACCACGTGCTTTCTCAAAATACAAATATATTGCGCATGCGTTTGAAAACAGGAACTAATAAATAGCAGTTACGCAGATATATATTTTTGAATATATATTCTGAATAAATTCATACAAAAGATTTGCTAGTTACAAATGTCATAATAAATTTATAATTATACCACAAGCCTACGAGTAGATAAATATATCTTGTAATGTTCAGGAACCGCGCACCTGTCTTTCGGGTGATCACGTGATCACAACAGAGCAGACGACGTTTTCCGAAAGCGACAACGGGAACTCATAGGTAACGTGGTATTACTTTTGAACGTGGGGATCACAACTTCATAAGAAGAAAATAAATAATGACATTGTTAAAACGATGTATCTCAATACGTATATTCAGCATTTATAGGCCTATTTGATGAACATATACTCATTTGATTATCAGATAGGCCTGAGGAATCAAGTCTAATTCTTATTCAACTGATCATGTCGTAATTTTCATAAGGACTAAAAAACTGGTAATTTCCTTATGAAAAACAAGATCGTGTTGGCTTAAAGGGCTCTTAGAAACCTTGTCCTTTTTAACACTGCTCACATTAGGCATCGCCTTACATAAAATATGGTGGAATAACTATATGCATACATATTTTATAGGCCTAGGTTTTGGCCCTTCACAGACTTTTTTCTGCACAGATTTCTATTATGCTAGAATAGTGATTAACATAACTGACTGCAGTCTACAACTTAAGACCCAATTCCAAGGCAGGAGTTTAGTAGTGCCACTACTAACTGTGCATATTATAACACTAACATCTGCTGAACATTATGGTAAGAGCCAGGTTCAGTTTAGTACTAAAGTTTTTTGACACAGATGATTATGATTGATAGACTAACAGTCTTTGTTTCTACATGTTTCATCTTAACACTTCCAGAGGATGGAAGCTCAAGATCAAGTAGTGGAAGAAGAAGTTGCTTCAGATGAGGAGGTTGGTATCTGGAATAATAAATGTTTTAAGAAAGAAAGAGAACAAACTACTTGGCTACAACATTTCAATTATCAAGTTGTGTATTCGAAAGGAAACTTGCTACTTGGGAAACAGTGAATTTTTGGGGTGTTTCTTTACTTTTTTTGTTGCCTCAATTTGTCATTGACAATGACTAAACTTGGTCATGCCTCCCACTTATCCCATCGACATACAGTATACTAAGTCGGGCATAGATACATACACTAGTTCGTCTGGATGGACTTGTTCGTTTTATCCTAAAATCTAGTTATTTTACAGAAACCACTGGTCGGAAATGAGCTACCATGTTATTAATAAACAGTTTACATGTTATTTTGCATAGGTGTTATCTGGGTGCTAAGATGATTATTGTCTTGGATTGAATGTTAATCAAATGACTTCCAATTGAGGCACATGAGGACATTCTTAAAACATATAAGGACTCAAGTCCTCCTCCTCACTTGTCATCCTTGCATGGACTGCAGTGCATTGTACTAAAGGATATCATTTTACACTGCACAAGGTTGAATATAGAAAGTCAAATATTTTCATGGAAATGGGTCTCTTGAAATAAACCACATCCTGCTAAACTTTGTTGACTTGAATTTCATTATCTTGCAATTCAATCCATAGATATCAATTATGAAAATGTAAACATTATTTTGCTGTCATTATCAGTTATATTTTTATGTATTATTATTTTACTCTGTCAAAGTCACAGTGTGCACAGCAGGGAACAGTGACTATTTCTCACCTGTGTCTTTTTGCTAGCCTGAATACTTCCCTCATCAATTTGACTGGTGATTGAATTTTATCATGTAATAAATCCAGATAACACTAATCAAATTATAAACCCTGAAATGTGAACTTTCTGAATGCCAAAGACACCACTATGCATGTACTCAAAGCATGTTCTTGTTTCAGGAATCTATATTTCTTGATATTGATCAGCTGCAGAATCATGGCATAGTAAGTGCATGACATTTTTAACACCAGGGATAATTCTAGGGTGGGGTCATGTGCTTTTAACCTCTAAATTTGAAAAAAGGCCCACATTTTCAAATACAATGAAGCATTTTAACATTGTGCTGTATGGGTGTACATTTTCACACAAAGGGCCCATTTCAGATCATTCCTAGAGTGAACCCTGTAACATGGTTGTAAAATTACCTCCATTTGCAGCCATATCTAATGTAAACCGACAATAAAACATAAAGACAGGATTGATTTAATGATTTTTATTTTATTTGTGTTCTTTTATTGTGGAATGTCGGTACAGATACTAACACCTTTATCAAACTTGACACCTGAAATAAGTATTTAATGCCCACAAACCTTTGATTTTAGTATAATATAGAATATATGATTAATATTTTATTTTAAGTTACAGTTTAGTTTGACTTTCATTAACAATTAGTTTTGAGTCATACAGTTTGTGAACATTTGCAGGATTTTAGATTGATTCATTTTCTTGGACATTGTCTGATTGTCAAAAACGTCCTGAAGATTTTGTCGAGGTTGGTAATGTTAGCAGTTTCAGACTTGTAGGGAAATCATGTTTTTATTGAGATATACAATGTGTTTGTTTTTTTAATAACTTTTCTTTTATTTTGAACCTAAAAGGAAATATTCAATTTTTATTTCATATTTAGAATGTCGCTGATATCAAGAAACTAAAACAAGCAGGAATATGCACAATCAAGGTAAGAACAACTATTTCATTTACTTTTTGTGTTATTTAATGAATTACATGATATTTGGAATGTTTTCCTTAACATTTTGATTAGAAGATACAATCTCAGACAAGCTGATCAGTGATTGTCTTAAGACCTTGTGAACAAGGTAGCATTGCTTTCATTTACACCATAACTTTTTCAGGGTATTCAAATGACGACAAGAAAGAAACTGTGTACCATCAAAGGTATATCAGAAGCAAAGATGGAAAAAATCAAAGAGGCAGCTGCAAAGCTTGTGGTAAACAATATTCTTGTGTGCCATCACCATGCCACTTTGTGCTGGGTATATAGCTTTACCCACTTATATAGCCCTAGTCTTGTGAAATATTTTGAGTTAGAAAACATACATAAAACAGTACAATTTGTTTAAACTGATGCTTAAAAAATATTACCAAGAAAGTATTTTTTGTAAAGAGTGTTGAGAATCATTTTTTTGTTTTCTGATATTCTGAGCAGGGTATTCCACTGAGTATATATTTCCCATTTCACAGGATCCAGGATTTCTCACAGCTTTACAGTATGCTGACAAACGAAAAGAAGTGTTCAAGGTTTCAACAGGGAGTCAAGAGTTAGAGTATGTTGACTGAGAATTGTTTTCTGAGACATAAATTATTGATGTAAGGAATTAAATAATAATTACTCCCTTGTTTTGTTTTGAAACAGTAAACTGCTAGGAGGAGGAGTAGAAAGTATGGCAATCACAGAAGCCTTTGGAGAGTTCAGAACAGGGAAAACACAGATTTCACATACTCTGTGTGGTGAGGATCTTTTTTATTTTGAAATTATATATTTTTGGCTACAACAAAGAATGGTGTCAATGCTGTTTCATTTTGACATTTTAGATGCACTGATAAATAAATCGTACATATGTGACAGTACTAATAAACTGAAAAACTGTAAATCTCCATGTACAGATAACATTTTGCCAGAGTTTCTTAAGTAGCATTAACCACTATTGTTCCTCATTTGGAAATTATATTTAACTTTATGTTAATGTATTTTCCCAAAAGATTGGGACACAGGGATTATTATCCCAGTGCATAAGAAATGGTCCTTCTTGGAAAAGGATAACTACAGGGTAATTACTGTGTTGAGTATTCTGTCTAAGGTATTTACATCTATTCTTAATGATAGAGTGGTATTCTGATGTATTCAATAAAATATCAAAGTGCAGCTCTCTGAGTAGCAACCGTTTTGGTTGCCAAATGCAACTTAAGTCTATGATTGGCGACCTAAATTTATCTACTGCTCGCCACTTGTCTACCTAATAGTAAACATGACTGGCGACAATATCTGTTGGCTCCTAAAAACATAGGTTTGGCTCCTAAAATATTCATGTTAGGAGCCGCTTGGCTCCCTAACAAAAAAATGAACTTAGAGGGCTGGAGTGTCAAACTGGGTTTAGGAAAGGGTATTCAACCAAAGTAGAGATAATTTATGGATAACAACTTCTTTATTTACTGTAAAGGCAATGTTTCGTATAGATCCTTATACCATTGTGAAGCAAGGCCTTGCTTGGCAATGGTATAAGGATCTATACTGAAACGTCGCCTTTACAGCAAATAAAGAAGTTGTTATCCATAGTGGGAGGTTTTAGAAAAAGGCGGGATCAGTGGTAAGATGGGTAGTATGCTAAAAACTATTTATGGTAGCATCAAAGCATGTGTAAAAAGCAATAACATAATATCAGATAAATTTAAAGTAATTTAGGTATTAGACAGGGATGTGTCTTATGTCCTATCATGTTTCAGTTCTTTGTCAGTGAAATTGTACATTAAGTAGAACAGGAAGGTTACACCCAGACATAATGCAAATAATTATTTCTTCACCTATTAGCTGATGATTTAAGCAACAGATTATCATGGACACCTACTTTGATAAATATTGAAGTAAAAAATAAAATTATATTAGTCACTCTGTTGAAATATCACATGTCTTCAACCTTATTCACCTACCGGTAATATTTTCTTCAGATAGTTTGATTGTGAAATATTACTTGAGTTATCAGATTTTGAGAAAATTCATTTATATGTGTCGAAATTGTTTTTAAATGTCTGTAATCAAGTAATGCTGTTTTGGATGAAAGTGGTAGATTTCCCATCTATATAAATGCAATGATAAAAGCATTTAAGTACTGGTTACGTTTATCACATATGCCATGTACATGCTTATTGAAGAAATGTTGCAGTATGTTAGTATTGTATGACAGTAAAGGTAAGACTAACTGGGTCACAAACAAAAGATAAACACTGATTTCTCTTGGTTTTGGTGATGTATTGCTTTCACAAGCTCTGGGAAATGACCAAAGTTTAAACATTTACAAGATCATTTCCAACAGTTGTGGGTCAGTGATTTACAACAAAGTTAAAAAATGTCATTCTATTCCCAATGTAAGACATCTTGAAACTGTGAAGAGTATTTAACTTGTATAATATTAACTTGTAAATTTTGCACATGCTTATCTGGATTTAGATGCAGTTCACACTGACTTGAAATTGAAACTAGCAGAAGAAATAATACTCCCCGTAATAAGAGATACCGTAAAATTTACTCTTCTAAAACTGTGGAAGACAAGTTTCATTTTCTGCTTGTGTGTCCTGCATAACACATTTATGACAGATTTATATTCAAACTATATATCATATGCATCTGAATATCCATAAATTTAATGCACTCCTATCTATAAATAGACCGGGCTTTCCTCCCACATTAAGCTGACATGCCGTAATATAACTGGAATACTGTTAAAAGCGGGGTTAAACCCAACTCACTCACTCAATCTACAAATAGACATTTAATTGTCAATCTCTAAATTCTTATACTAAAGTGAACAAAAATGAGCCTGTATATTGTAACTGTGCCCCAATTATAATGTACAAAGAGTCTGTGGCATCAATGTGCTGAAATATAAACAATTGAAGCAATTGATCTCAGGAGTTTATCAGTGTTCTTGTATATTTTCAGTAACATCTCAGCTACCAGGAGCCAAAGGTTATTGTGGAGGAAAAGTTGTCTTCATTGACACAGAAAACACTTTGTATCCTTTGACTTACAACTGATTATAAACTGTAATCTTGTATATTTAAGAAATGTTTCAGTTTGGTTAATATAAAGCATGTCAAAGTACTAATGTTTAAAATCCTTTATGACTACAGTCGACCTGACAGATTACGGGACATTGCCGACAGATTTAATCTTGACCAGAGTGCTGTACTGGATAATGTTTTGTATGCAAGGGCATACACAAGTAAGTATTACAATATGCCTTTAATGCATATGTGAACAAGATCAGCTTTTAGGCCACACTTTTTTAATTTTCTGTTTCACAGAGTTATTCTCGCTTTTCCACACAAGGTCGGTTGAAATTACAATAAAAATAAATAGCTATTTCAGTCATTTATTTATTTATATGAAAGTCATTCTGCCGTGGATTTAAAACTGAAGGTGCCTTCTTGAATCACTGATAGTCATGCAGACATGGAATTTATATATAACATTTTATATTGTATAAGAGGGTCTATACTACTGGTGGAAGACTTATTTTTATTTCTTTTCCAGCTGCTTTTCAGTAGGGACGGCAGGCCCATGAAATGAAAAATAAAAAATGTGTGGCCTTATGGCATGTAAAATAATAGAACATCTGTATATTATAATATTTGTATACAAAATATTATATATTTTTCAATATACTGTACTATTATTAATCTCTCCATAACATGTCATTTCAGAGATTAACATTGTATTTGGCAAGGCAATATGAATACTCTATTCATGATGTATACTGTACTCACTACCAAAAGAAACTCGATTACCATACATGTTGGTTAATATATAAAGAATTACTCATTTTCAAAAGATATTAAGTTGGTTCAATCCTCAAACGAATATACTGGTATGTTGTGTGAACCAATGCTCATGAACACAGCACGTGTGACATTACAGATCCATATAGACGCACCATTTGTCTGGTGCAAGATTAGCGTGTAAAGTTTGGAAATCATGTGCAGCATATTGTGATAAGAATAAAGACACTCTGGGGTAATACTTGACTGATTGTTAGTTGTCATTAATTGGTACACATTGGAAACATCTAATCTTAACTTACGTTCTTCTCCACATGTTTCAATGGTTCATTTCTTTTGATGATGAAATATATATTTATATATTCAAAGGGAATCAACTGTCTTGTAGGATTTCTCTGTTTACAGCACCAAGCAACACATGACTATCATCCATACTTTTATACTACTGTATTCTAATGTGATGTCATTTTTTCTGCAGAGTGAGACATCACATTTCTCTTCATTGCAGTTAAATTTCACTTTTGTTTCCGTGAGAAATCTCTTTTAATGCCAAGAATATAATTTTAGTAAAATAATGTAGCCACTGACTTCTATAAAACATCTGTCAGATATTATCATGAATTGTAATTCACATGCAGATAGATTAATATTTTGCTTCCTCAAATGTGAGGACCTTAAAACTTGTAAATAAGGTCAACCACTCATATTTGCAGCCGCCAATATCATTAGCCTCATGATATATCCATTTGCATTACTAGGTGAACACCAGTATGAGCTCCTAGACTTTGTTGCGGCAAAATTTTATGAAGAGCCTGGTGTATTCAAATTGCTGGTTGGTGAATTGTTCTTGTTGAAAACCCAAGATTACTAAATTTCTGCAGAATATCATTGATGTGGAAACAATCTAATACTCTGTGTTTTAGGCAAATAGCCAACAGATTTCAGTTAAACAGATTTCAGTCTTAGCTGATATTATCAGCTATCAATAGTCCTAATCATAAAAATTTACTGATAAAAATGTTCAAGCATTTGTCTGCAACTTAAGCTAATAGTCCGAATACTGAGTTAGGTAAATTTTCTTTTGTTTCATTAGATTACCTAATACTTGTCCAATATTGACACTAAAATTTACTTTAAATGATGCAAAAAGACGATTTTGGTACACTGTGGAAATAGCCTGTTATGCTGTTAAAAGAAATTACATTTTTGCAGCAAATGTGTGTTTAGGGACCTATCATTGTGAAACTTAGTGTAAATCTGGTACTGAGTAATGGTGCACACCTGCATGTGACAAATATGTTTTTGTAACTGATTTCTTCCTGCTTTACAACCACTAGCTACTCTTCAAACTTGCAGATAGTGGATTCTATAATGGCACTGTTCCGAGTAGATTTTAGTGGTAGAGGAGAACTAGCTGACAGACAGCAGAAACTGGCTCAACTCCTGTCTCGGCTGCAGAAAATTGCAGAGGGTGAGAGCAGTTTTCTACAATAAGTTTGGCAGAAGAGGGAGAGACACAGAGAGAGACTGAGAGAGAAATATATATGAAATCTCATTGTAATTGTACTCTGTAGTTGCAGTAATTTCCTTAATCCTAACATGTACAGGGGTCACTCTTGGAATTTCCTGACATGGGCCCTTTATGTGAAAATTTCAAATATTCCAGAGGTACACCCACACAGCACAATGTAAAAATGCCCCATTGTATTTGAAAATGTGAGCCTTTTTTCAAATTTAGGGGCTAAAAGCACAAGGCCCCACCCTAGAATTATCCCTGCATGTACATTGTAACATCATACTTGTTTACAAACACCTGTTTGAATAGATTGCTCCAATGCTTTGCTGTGGCATAGAAAATTTGTACAGAGTGTCCTTTCTTTTCACAGAGTATAATGTGGCAGTTTTTGTTACGAATCAAATGACATCAGATCCTGGAGCTGGCATGTCGTAAGTTATCAAAAGAAAACACACATTGAATTAAGATTAATTAAGATTAATTTTTTATGTACATATAATAACAACTCAAAGGTCAATCCACAGTTCTATTAATTTATATATACCGTATTTGACGTAATAAGCGCCCCGCTCTAATAAGCGCCCACGGCGATATTTGCTAATATATTGGCAAGTGAACAATCCCAATTAGCATCCCTTCCGATTGATCAATGTATGCAAGACTTATTTATTCGTGTATAATACGCACTCGTGTGTTATATGCATCCTTAATTATGGGCAATTAAATTCTGGAAAAATATATCTGTCGTATATAAACAGTTCAGACCGTCAGCATAAACCACGAAATTTATCTTTCAACTCTGTTTATTTCCATCAAAATAATATTCTAATAAGAGCCCCCTATTTCTAATTTTGAGAGCGCCCTGGGCGCTTATTACGTCGAATACGGTATACTGATATATTATTTTATGTTCTGAGTTGGCTGCAATTTCATCGTGGGTCATTTGCAATTGATCAATCATTGATTAAGACTGGTGCTTTCCAGAACCTACATCTAATGCAAATTTCCATGAATTCATTTAAAAGATGTATTCTGAAATGAAAATGAATCTTTGATTACATATAAAAGCTGAGTAATTTTGAATAGATTTGATGACTAGCTGAATGCCTAGAATACATATTTTAATATCAAATGACATTTTTAACACAATCAATTACTATCAAGTTTTTGAACCAATCAGTCATCAATTATTATAGATCATCTGTCCATTACATTACCTCAGGTTTCAAGCTGACCCAAAGAAACCAATTGGTGGCCACATTCTTGCTCATGCATCTACTGTCAGAATAAGTCTTAGAAAAGGAAGAGCTGAAAATAGGATAGCCAAAATATATGACAGGTAAGATTTAGACTTGGCAAATTCACTTAGACTAAGAATCCAATGACATTAAGAGCTAATGTGTAACCTGCATCACAAATTACTGATACAACTTTCCCAATACATATTATATTGTATATATTTAATGCCTTAATGTTTTACGAAGGTCAACTTTATGGTGACCTTGCAAAGGGTGATACTGATAGGGCAGGACATGCTCAATCATTTTGTGAATGCCTGGTTTCATCAGCGTTACTTTACAGTGATTAATAAGTTTGGTTTCTTGAATTTGTTTCTTCCATTTTCTTTGTTCATTTTCATTTTTGCAGAGATATGAATACAAATACCAATTATTTATCTTTTATGATTTTGTTAATATCTTCAATAAAGTCACAAAGGTGTTAAGGATCACAATACAAGTTGAAGCACTAATTCCTGTAACAATCTGACTTGTCCATCCACATTTCAGGATCATAACTCAAAAACTGTTCTACTTGATAAAACATCACTCCTGTATTGACTAAAGGATCTTGTAAAATTTATTATTTTTGGATTACTTATGGAAACAAGTTCAGTTTCTTTACAACTGATAGAGGATTGGGTTTCTCCATTCATTGATTATGTTACTGTTGATGTCTGTGCAAACAATAGCTATAGTTATTGCCCTTTAATATATCCCTTTGTACTTTGCATGCACTAAGGATGATAGGGGATAAGGACTAGCTTTTTTCTGGTTAAATGATTATATCTCAAAATCAGTTATTCATATTCACAATTGCAATGGCCATTGTATTAATATATATTTGCAGACAAGTATTTTTCTAATAGTACTGTAGTGAATTGGTTTTGAACTACAATAATACAACATCTGATTAATATGTTATATATTTCTTTCAGTCCTGATTTGCCGGAGAATGAAGCAACATTTGCAATTAGTGGTGGAGGAATCATTGATTCGAAAGAATAGTCTGAAGGTTCTGCTGTGAAATGAATAGGCAAACACATCATCATATCCTGTATGAATGAACAAGAACACCACGTTATGTAATTAAAACTTAAAAAAAACAAATATTTACCATTTACCATGCTGTTCTGAGTATGTGTAATCTCAGTACTTCTCCCCTTACGGGCATTTCATGTTTTTATTAAATGCCCTTCATCAGTCAAGATGGCCTTGAGTAATAGTCTCAGTTGTTCTCTTAAATATGAAAGGCATATTGTGCTAAGTCAGTCCCCAAAATTTTCCACAAAGGAAATAGTGAGTAAATATTGTTTTACGCTGCCTTTAGCAATATTCCAGCAATATCACGGCAAGGGACACCAGAAATGGGCTTCACACATTGTTAACATTCTGGAAATCGAACTCAGGTCTTTGGCATGAAGAGCAAACACTTTAACCACTAGGTTACCCAACTACCCCACAAAGGAAATAATTCATATATTTCTTCATACAGAATGTTACTCTTTTACTCTTGTTGAAACCCATAAACAAATAAACTGTTTCATTATGTACATAAATATTTGATTTATCATATATTACTCTTTATGTCATTTATATAGGTCCAGTACTCATTTAGTCATGATAAAATGTTTAGTTGATGGATAAAATTTCATTCTTGTAAACTCTGGTCTGTCAACCATCAAAATCTACAAGAAGTTATTCCAAAAGGTTTTTAATTAAACCAACTGCTTGATTGTGTTTGAAGGATCTCTGTATATAATATTTTTCAGATACTTAACCAAATTTTTAAATTCTTTATCTCCTCTCATAAGGCAGCCCCTGTGAAGGGTCTTGATTGTATCAAATTTTTGGCTGACCTCTGTGTAAGATCACTAGAGGACAAATTATGAAACATGGTTCAAATTTCAATAAAACTCTAATTCACACACACACACAAAAAAAGAAAAAGATCGCAGTTGACACATAAACTTGGTTATTTTACAAAATCAAAATGATACTAGAATATTCGAAAACATTTTCATGATTTTATCCCTTTGTGTTGAAAATCTGTTATATATCATAACCAAAACAGTACACTTTGGATAACAATCAGTCATTTCTGGAACATAAATCAATCTGAAGCCCTGCATTCATTATTCATTGGGATCATAAACTGTGTACCTATCCTGACAAATAAAATGTATACTACAAACTGGACGCCACTTTGCCCTGAGAAATAAGAACAATACTCTTTCTTTAGGATGGAAATGATTTTATTGCAATGACATAGTTGGCAAGAGAATAGACAAACCGTGTTGAAATTTCATATCTACTTAAAAGTGGAATAACTCTCACTACTTAACTTTTCTTACCTGAACTGTATGAATATCAGAGATTTTAATTCTAACTTGTCAATATAAATAATAAAACATACACATCTCACTGAGACACCGACATTAAATAGCTAAAAGAAATGCCACAAAATATATTTGGACATCTTGTAAGGGATGAAGAAATATTGAACATGTTCTTATCTTAGCTGATAACCATGTTGGTATTCTATTAACATACACTGCATGGTGTTAGCATATCTCATCTTGATAACAAATGTGGTTTTCTATTGGTGTATTTTCATAAAATCAATCCTCAATGAATATTGAAGAAGTGATAAAATGCAGTTAGTAGAAACTAAAATATGAAATATGCATACACATAAACAAAAGAAGAGTTTCCCATGAGTATTGATCGAATATCAAGGATCACAGGCTCACTTTGTGATGGCCATAACTTTGCCAAGTAAGCAGTTATCTACTGTCTCAGTCAGTAACTTTAGTCACTTCTCTGAAGCCCTGGTCTAGTAAGCTTAATGATATTAGTCTATATGATAACCAAGTTCAGGCTAGTAGACTCAAAGGTTCATGGCACATGTTGATTGTTCGATGTCCTCAAAATGTCATTTTAATCATACAATTCTTGATACTGATGTTCTGTGTGTATCAGCCAAAGGTGTATTAATTCATATCAAAATAAGCTGATATTTCACATTTAAAGGATATGCTTATAAAGCATGAAATACATGCAAATGAATCAATGGTAGTATTCTTGGGTGTGGACAATTGTTACCAAGACGTTAACCAGACATGCCATAATGATAACAATTGTGATGAATTGAACAGTTACAGCCATGGAATAATATATTAGATAAACAAACTAACAACGGTTAATGACTGCAATATATGAATAAATATGATAACAACTAAGCAGGGCTTAGCCCTTGGGTATTAAAAGATATAGCTAAAATTCACATAAGTAAAACAGACATACCCTTGAAAACATGTCCTATTTAAGACTGGCACTAACATAACAAGATTGCTTATTAAGGTTCAGTGAAATAGTTTGGGTTTTGGTACATCTGTAGGATGACAGTAAAATGGATACCAATTTTAACTGTGCTGGTGGTGAATGTCCATGTAAATAGTATTACAACTCTCCTTGACATTCCATTGCAACTAACATTATACATGATTCCAATTTTGATAGAAACTTGCAAAATGTTATTCTAACTCACAGGATCGCCGCACTTTCACATGAAAACAAACAACCCTCAGCAACTTAACTATTTATCAAACATATTCTATTTCATTACAGACATTCAATCGTCAAATTACATCATTGTCCTTCATTTGGTATCATACAATGGTTGGTTAAGTAGTCACTACACCAACGCCATATTGACAGGGTTGCAACTGGAGGGTGTTATTCATTAATGGTTCAATCTTATTTCTTCTATAGACCAACCACACAAAAAAAAAAGTTAAATAGATGATGCTTAAAGAATTTTTAAGTATCTTAAGCATGTCAAGAGATGTTTTTTTTCAAGGAAAATCCCTGATGCAATCCTGTAGAGAAATAGATTTATCAGTGGCTGTAATGCCAGAACCAATAGAAGCTTCGTTTCCATATAGATGTAAACAGATTAGCTACATCAGTTAATGCCCATTCAAAGTTAAAGACTCAACTCAACTGATAAAGAAAGACAAGAAGTAGTACACAGCACATAAATGAATCACAATCTGAATAAAACTATAAAATTACTCCAATAAAGTTAAGAGATCACAAAGTAAAGGCCTACTCTACTGTTTCAAGCAGAGAACTACTGGCATCTACATGATAGATAGATATATATGTACAACAATCAGCAAACAGCTAACTAACATGATGTATTTACAAGACAAGTATTTACACACCGGTTGCTGCCTTTTCTGAATATTGATTTTACAACATGGTGAAGATATTACATATCTATCCACAAAACTCATTCATACAAGGTTAAGATGATCAAAGGCATGATTGATGATGACATTTTGACATCAGATATGTCTTGAATATTCTTCCAAAATAACAAAAATAATACTGGTATCAGATAGTGTTCCCAATACCATCCTGAAGTTTCAGATAACATGTTTACCCGGATTGCTAAGTGACTTTTTGCAACAAATTATGGAGAGGTGGTTTTGATCAAGTATGTGATATTTAGTCCAGTAAAATCCAAATAAATGGAACCCTTATTTTGAAACATCCCAGTATTGTGTACAATACAACATTGTACCCATTGCAGCTTTGGCGCAGAATATGTTCTCGAAGAATAATGGCACCTATGTTAACTGGTAACATGAAATGAGGTCATTACTGCTTTGTCATGACTACAGTTTCCTCACAACCAATCAATAGCACCATACAGTCTGATGAGATTTAGCCCTCAATTATTGGTTATGAATCATTCACAAACTAAAAACACATTCTCACAAAGGAAACATTTCCATTCTTGCGGTACATTCTTATTTCTTCTGCCACACAACCTAACAGTGAACAACTATGTACATGTGAATTGCAGATGTCTTCTCATATTCTGAGAGGAAGGTGATGAAATTGAATTAATATATGAAAGTTAGCTATCTAAGTTAGCTAGTTTTAGGACTAGATTAATGTATAAAGGTGGAAATGTGGATCATGCTCTAAGAAGACTGGACACATGTTTCTCCTTTTACCCGAGAAATGACGATTGCAATTTAATTTCACGTGGGGAATGTTAGATCACTGTACAGGTTGTTGTTGCATGGCTTGAAAGTCTTCAAATGAAAAAAAATATGGGAAAAATTACACTGATCAAGAAAAAATTACTTTAGGATGATACAACAACAAGAACTGACAGTAATTCCAGTATATATTGTTATGTATAAAACAACCCTAAACAACCTTTCGCCAGTAAAGGATCGGCATTATATCCCAGCATTGGCACAAGATTTGATATATTGCTTCTAGTGTAGGCCTTGATACACATCAATATTTCTGTAAGCATGTATAAATACAATATAGGAAGTTAGTGACTACAGGTGACTATGTAATGGTGTACGTAGGGCCAATCACTGTAACACAACATGTAGCACCTAAAACACATTATAACATATCTTTGAAATAGAAACACTGTACACAAGGACAGATGTTTTGAACGTGTTACCCTTGACAAGATAATAAATGCACCATTGGTCAATATCATTATTCAACATAGGCTTGGAGTCAATGAGTTCAGTGGACAGAATTGCTCTTTCACTTTATGACATTCTGTTATAGCAAGTCACACTATTTTATCACAAACAGGAAGCCATCTTGTTTTGTAGGTTTTGGGCTCACTGCCATCTGTCAGTAGATTTATCTTGAAACATCAATGTCTGTTAATATGTTGATCTGTGAGAATACATGTACATGTCCCTCTTAGCACTTCCATATCACTAAGCACATTGCTTGATAATCAGGAATCTTTGTATGGCAATCCATGGACTCGGAATCTGTACAAACATGTATACTCTGGGTTGCCATGGTTTCCAAGTATTTTCAGTTCAACAAATGAGAAAAACTCCCCTGTTGTGGCCTGAAAAGAAAAGAAAAACTCTTTCAAGAAAGAAATCATCTGAACTCTTCCCTACTTAAAGCAACAGCATTTACATAAGATACCTAAACGATGACTAAATATTATTTTACAAAAGACAACGGTGACAAATCACGGCACCACGTCAGAATGTTTCAAGGGGAAGAAATTTATGAAAAGCAGTCGACCAATTGGATATATCACGACCTCTAAGATCGAGACTTGATTACACTTGGAAGTGGCGTGAAGGAACACTTAAAATATCCTTTACCCTCTATTTCTGCAACATAGATCAGTTGATGGAAAACATGGAAATTAGTCAACACAAACAATCCTACAATATTTGTGCTCCAAGTTTTTATTTCTGAAACATACCTGAATAGGGAAGTACTGAATAGGCTTCCCACTGTCACTGTAGGTGTAGTTTCCAAGAGACACACCCACCTTGTCTGTCTCACTGCTCAAACCCTTGAAAGAATATACATGAAAATAAGCAATTGTTACTTTTGATAAATAGTTATTATTTTCTAAGCTAATATGATTAAGACCTGGGTATGACATTTATCAACAATGAGTGCCTGTGTTAAGATGTAAGCATCATATGTCTAAAAGACTGAAAAGGATTCTTCATCATAAGACCAAACATTCTATTCTCAGGTCTCTGTCTAAAAGACTTATACTCTAAATGGGCGTGTTCAAATAGAATTGAAAAAAAACAAGATCATCAGTCCAAAGGTAACTCTTACATATACACCAAACTCTCTGGGGGCACTGTCAATGTTGCCTGTGGGAGAGAGAGCCTTGGGGATATGTTCCAGGGTGAACCCTGAGGGCTTGATGGGAAATGCCAGCTGTATCACCAAGAAACCCCTTGCACCCTTGAATGCCCAACACTGACCAGGATGAACATCAGGCTGAAACAAAGCAGAACATAAAATGCATTATGAACAGAATACAGTCCTGTCATAGTACTATGATATCCACAAAATCATTTCATGGACAGCAGAGATTAAAAGGGGACTGAACAATGGTGCAAGAGACTTGTCTCAGAAAAGTTATTTTGAGGACTTTATTTCAGTCACAATATTATCCAAAATCCCAACTATGGTGAAATCAAAATTCTCAACAATCCTCAAGACTCCAGAAGAGTAATTGCCTTTGTTACATTCCTGACATTACAAGTGGCATACACACCTGAATGACTGTACGTGCAGAGTTTGTGGTGTACCACAATGGGATACCAAACACACTGACGAGAGCGGTCTTCCTGTAGTAAGTCTCGGAGCATCGGACACTGACCACACTCCCACCAGCTGACTCCAAAGCATAGTCGGCCATTCCTACTTGATCAGCACTGAACTTCAGCAATGCATCGTCTACTATCCATCGGATGTACTGAAGTGAACAATAACACCAATAATATTTTGTATTTACATCACCTATAATTTTATCTCTCTTGCACTTCATATTTATGAAACATCTACATATTTTCAAACATCAAGCTACATGACAGACAATAGAAACACACATCCACCAATTTTATTTACTGAATAATGAACTGCCATGTTGCTAAAAGTATGTTGCGAAACGGGCAGATTGCAGAGGTGTGTTAATGTCACACATTTTACAAAGCCATGACTTGACACCACTGTCTAGTCTTACTGCCACATGTATCTCTGTATCAATTTCATTTAATGTACTGTTGGGATTACCATCAATTCTTAACATTTAATGTATATTAAAATTGAATATCTGAAGGAAAAACTACTTTTCTTCAACATGGTCAATGTGTACAAAATCTACTTGGCATACATTGGTTTAACAAACTGCTTGAACAGGTGAATGAATCTAAAAATGCCTTGGAAGAGGACCAGCAAGGATAGTAATAAAGTTTTAGGTCCAATTATTTCTTGTCATTATTCAAGCTGGCAAATTTCTAGCACTGCATGTGCAGAGACTTACATCTTCACTGATAGCAGCAGCAGGACCTTGTTTTGTGTCGGACTGGATGTAGACATTGGAGGCCTGTTCCTTGGTAATGGTCAGTATTCTCTGTGTGATGTCCTCTGATACTTTGGCCAGCTCCTTGTCCATGTCTTCCTTCTTGGCGTAGTTGCTCTGCAGCCAGTGGAGGAATGCACCATAGCCATCATCACTGCCAGACCCCCCTGCTCCTCCGGCCATCATCTAATGGGGCACAGAAGACTGCGGATAAGTACCTAGGCCTTCTTACACAAAACAACGGTAACTGCTAGAAGACTGATGACAAATAATATCTCATGGTGTTCTGTCACAACCCATTACTCAATGCATGTTCCTTTTCCACAAAATGATTTTAGGTGTATCCTTAACATTGGTTTGTGGGACATGTCAAGGCCACCATTCCAGGCCAGTTATTCATAAGTCATTACCTGTGAAATTAATGTGTTATGTTTTAGCCTAACCTGAATCTCAGACAAAAAATGACACGTAGGAGCATATTTAAAAGAGGAAATTCTCAAAACATTTAATCATGATTCTTACTTCTCAAAGTATCTCCCATTACTTCGGATAACCCACATATATGTCAGAAATACTTGCACACTGCATTGTCCATGGTGTTCATGCAGGTGAAAGGGTCTCACCTGTGCAAAGATGTCCTTCACATGTTGCCTCACAGCAAGAGCGTAAAAGCTGTCATTCCGACAGCAGTTGCGTACACTGGCCAGGAGTTCTAGATGTGAGAGTTGGAGGTTGGAGAAGTCATCTCCCAGAGCCTTGATCTGCTGCTGTAAGATCCTGATCTGTTCGTCATAGTCCTGCTTCAGTCCGTCAACCTTCCTATAATATCACACCGAAAATGTTATTTATTGTTTAATGCCACACTCAGCAATATTCCAGCTAAATAGATGGTGGTCCGTGAATGATCCAGACAATCCAGTTATATTATGACCAATGTCCCATGCAGTTGGGGTACAATGACATCAATCCAGTGAGTCCAACACACCCAATCTATGTTGTCATACGACAAGCATAGGTAGCAGGGGACCTATTCTAACCCGGAATATCCACAGGGTGGATGGAACACTGTTAGTTATAGGATGTCCAATAAAGGCAATAACAGAGAAAAGATTTTCATTGGATGTAGGCACAACATCAAAGGTAAAACTAGAAGTTTGGGTAATCCCTTAGCATTGGGTAGCTTGGAGGACATTGTAAAGAAGATGGTGGATATGACTGGTGTACTTACACATTCCCAGATGACTGAAGAGCAGCTATGGCAGCCTCCAGAGACTGAAAATAGAAACAACATTTAACAGCATATTCAAGAAAATGTCCATTTCAACAAAGAAAATCCATTGTCCATATATCTTTGCATCTGATGAAGAAAGCTACTTTGTACTGACTGCAGATAACTTACCTCATACTTCTTCATGAAGTCTCCTAGTTTCTTATCCATACTAGAGAATGAGGTTCGCTGGTTGGTTTGGGACGACGTCTACAAGACATTGATCAATACATGTATTATTTGTCACAACAAACAGGCTTCTCAAAGATCAGTTCGACTTTCTGTGTACATAGTCATAAAATAGACTAGGTGGAAGAAAATATACAATTAACCAGCTGAAAGTGTTTTTCCATGGATCTAAAACAATTCTAATAATTTTGTAAAAAAAATGAATAATTCACAACAATTAAAATTAATACTCAAATCATACATCATACATGAAAAAGGGTTGATCCTGATGTGAGGATGGCAAGAGGGTGTGAGAATCAAGACTCTACCTTACCATCTATCTATCCATTTACATGAATCAAGCTGCTCTAGCATCCCCAGGCTATGCTAGACACGTGTGTGTGTGTGTGTGAGTGTGTGCGTGTGCGTGTGCGTGAGTGTGAGTGTGCGCGTGTGCGTGTGCCTGTATCCAGGCTTGCTGCCACCCACCTGGTCTGCCTTCACCTGGTTGATGTTCTGCAGCAAGGCCAGCTTCATGTCCTCCAGCTCCTTGGCAATCAGACCCTGCGCTATCTTCTCCACATCAGCTGCCGTCAGCTGATTTGTCTCATATTTGTGTTTGTGCTCCTCAAAAAACTGCTGTATCTTGATATTAATTGTACTTGGATCAACATAGGGCAACTGAAAAGATGAAATACTAACACTAAACTTTGATGTAGATATATGTCTTTTGTTAATTATCTGATAACCTATGTCAGTATGTGTATTTTTGTCCTTTGTACAAGGTTTGAGTAAGGACAAATAGACAGTAAGTAGGGCTGGGACGAGTCCAAATTTACTACCCAGGTACCCACCCCCTATTACCCGACCCTACCAGGGTACCCACTGTACGTCTCAAGGGATACAAAATGTCTGATTGGGAATTTTGTTTTACCACAGCACTTGCAAAATGTATTTAGATACATATATTAAACAATCTGGTCATGCATACACTGAAGTTGACTTAGTTTTGTCTTTATTCAACCATATGTTGTCTAAGTCAGAAGGAATGGGTGCATAGTCAGAAAGAAATGCGAACATTAGTGACTTGTAGTGTAACCATAAGAGTTCAAGATCATTTTTGTCATTTAACTATATATCACATGACTAACCATGGGTCCGGGTAGTCCTGTGGGTACCCTGGTCCTACTCAGTACCCACCCGACCCGGGTACCCGAGTTACCCGTCCCAGCCCTAATAGTAAGGCTTCTGCTGTTTGGAAATGTGTCTCTAAACCATGTTGAGATCAGAAATCAACCTACAGAAATAGGAGAAATGCTTGAAGTCTTGATTTTTCCCCTTATTTAATTTGAACCACACATTAACTGTTTTTACAACATATGTTGTTTGTTTTTTTGGTTGGTTGTTGTTTAACGTCACACTCAGCAATATTCCAGCTATATGACCACAATATGTAAATAATCAAGTCTGGACCAGAAAATCCAGAGATTGATTCCATGAGCATCAATCCACACAATTGGGATACGATGACATGCATCAACCAAGTCAGCAAGCAAGCCTTACGACAAGCATAGTCGCCTCTTATGACAAGCATAGTCTCCTCTTACAACAAGCATGGGTTGATTGAAGACCTATTCTTCATTGGGCTGTAAAATAATAAAAGGCCCACAAAGGTTCTTGCTATTTATTTGAAGATTCACACATAGTGTGTGCAGTATGCAGTAAGTGAGTGAATGTTGTCCTATGCCACAGTCAACACAATGCTTAGACTAGCTGTAACTGAGGGAATCTGAACCAGGCAAACTAGTGGTTGACAGCATGAGGCATCATGACAATCTACTGAGGTCAAGTGCTAACTCCTAACAACCTAACTCGTCCTGTTCACACTGAGTCCACTGGTGCTCACAACAGAGCACTGAAAAATAGTCACCGAAAATAAGTCTTTGTAACTTGAAAATAAATCTTTTTCATTACATGTGTTGTGACAGAGTGAACAGGATTTTACAGCTCTTTCGTTTTCCAAAATCCTGAAACTATTTTTTTGTGCCTAATATACAAGTCCATTTATTTTCACTATCCTGTATGCCCCACAAAGTGTGTACTAACCATCTGTATGTATGTATTGTCACTGTGTACTTACTGTCCAGGTGTATGTATTGTCAGTGTGTACTCGCCATTGTGTGTATGTATTGTCACTGTGTACTTACTGTCCAGGTGTATGTATTGTCAGTGTGTACTCGCCATTGTGTGTATGTATTGTCACTGTGTACTTACTGTCCAGGTGTATGTATTGTCGGCGTGTACACACTGGCTGTGTGTATAAATTGTCAGTGTGCACTTACTGGCCAGCTGTATGCATTGTCAGTGTGTACACACTGGCTGTGTGTATGTATTGTCAGTGTGTACTTACTGGCCAGGTGTATGTATTGTCAGTGTGTACACACAGGCTGTGTGTATGTATTGTCAGTGTGTACTCACTGTCCAGGTGTATGCATTGTCAGTGTGTACACACTGGCTGTGTGTATGTATTGTCAGTGTGTACTTACTGGCCAGCTGTATGCATTGTCAGTGTGTAGACACTGGCTGTGTGTATGTATTGTCAGTGTGTACTTACTGGCCAGCTGTATGCATTGTCAGTGTGTACACACTGGCTGTGTGTATGCATTGTCGGTGTGTACTTACTGGCCAGGTGTATGTATTGTCAGTGTGTACACACAGGCTGTGTGTATGTATTGTCAGTGTGTACTCACTGTCCAGGTGTATGCAACGTCAGTGTGTACACACTGGCTGTGTGTATGTATTGTCAGTGTGTACTTACTGTCCAGGTGTATGCATTTTCAGTGTGTACACACTGGCTGTGTGTATGTATTGTCAGTGTGTACTTACTGTCCAGGTGTATGCATTGTCAGTGTGTACACACTGGCTGTGTGTATGCATTGTCGGTGTGTACTTACTGGCCAGGTGTATGTTTTGTCAGTGTGTACACACAGGCTGTGTGTATGTATTGTCAGTGTGTACTCACTGTCCAGGTGTATGCATTGTCAGTGTGTACATACTGGCTGTGTGTATGTATTGTCAGTGTGTACTTACTGGCCAGCTGTATGCATTGTCAGTGTGTACACACTGGCTGTGTGTATGTATTGTCAGGCTGTGTACTTACTGTCCAGGTGTATGCATTGTCAGTGTGTACACACTGGCTGTGTGTATGTATTGTCAGTGTGTACTCACTGTCCAGGTGTATGCATTGTCAGTGTGTACACACTGGCTGTGTGTATGTATTGTCAGTTTGTACTTACTGGCCAGCTGTATGCATTGTCAGTGTGTACACACTGGCTGTGTGTATGTATTGTCAGGCTGTGTGTATGTATTGTCAGTGTGTACTCACCTGCCGTGTGTATGTATTGTCAGTGTGTACTCACCGGCCATGTGTATGTATTGTCAGTGTGTACTCACCGGCCGTGTGTATGTATTGTCAGTGTGTACTCACCGGCCGAGTGTATGTATTGTCAGTGTGTACTCACCGGCCGTGTGTATGTATTGTCAGTGTGTACTCACCGGCCGTGTGTATGTATTGTCAGTGTGTACTCACCGGCCGTGTGTATGTATTGTCAGTGTGTACTCACCGGCCGTGTGTATGTATTGTCAGTGTGTACTCACTGGCCGTGTGTATGTATTGTCAGTGTGTACTCACTGGCCGTGTGTATGTGTTGTCAGTGTGTACTCACTGGCCGTGTGTATGTATTGTCAGTGTGTACTCACCGGCCGCGTATATGTATTGTTCACTTGCAGCAGGTTGAAAGACTTGATTGATGACCTGGCTTGTTCCAGTAGTTCTCCTCCATACATATCTGTCACAAGGAAATGTCTACATATAAATGGCAAACAATGGCATCAGAAATGTATACATTATGGTTTGAAAACAGAGAATGTTCCTCTATCATTACTGCTATTATGACACTTCTAGTTATTAAATTTCTCATTTAAAGGGTGACATTTTTATTCATAATTTGTCTTAAATAAATATGATAATTATTTACATTGCTGCATATAAAAACATCAAAAATCATATATCACAATGATCACTACTTACATCCTAACAACAGCGGCAGCAACAACAGCAGAGGCAGACAAAGACAGCAGCAACCTCCAACACTCCTGCAACATAGAGAAAACACATTAACATTTTCAGTCCGTGGACAAACCTCAAAGTAAACACCACCACTTGACATTTAAGATTATATGCATTAAAATCCTTGTCTGTATTTACCTTGATACAACCCACATGTCTGCTATCCGGAGCCATCTCCATATTGTGATCTTCGTTTGACGATATGCATAACTGTTTGTGACAGGACTCAACAAACCTGCAAATAATTTCCAAGACTAGAATCAGAACTGCATATAATCAAATTAACACAATCAGTGTTTTCATAGGAGACAACTGACCAAATTCGACATTTCTCTTTATATTACATAATCACATGGTTTTACCCGACACAAAATATTGCATTCTATACACATAACAATTGAGTCCCATAGGATGCAAAAAAATACATCTCTATCTGAATCACTAACACCCATTAAGTTTTAGCCATTCTAGCACGCACATACATTTAACTGTCCTTGTTCGATTTGCTTCACTTAATCATTAAGCTTTTCAAACCAGGACAATACCATTGAGTTTTCATTGACATGTACTACATGTCTATTTGTTGTTGATACAACAAAAGACTGACTGAAAGTATACTGGACAAACAGAAAGGCCCAGGTAAAGCCCTGCCAACTATATACAAATAATAAAAGAAGAGAGAAAGAGGAAATATTTGCCTCCAGTTTAGGCCATTTAAAGTGAATCATAAAGTTTGCATGTGATTTTAAGAATCCTGTTGTGGCTGAACATGATTCTTGTGGGGAAGACCATGGTAGCTACCTGCCAGACTGAGAGTCAAATGTTAGCAGTTTCACATGAATGGATGGACTTTTAGATTGGGTTTGAAGAACTGTGAGATAACTTAAACTGCAGTTTCAGAAGTTCTATTCATATTTACCTGACACAAATGATGAAATGGTGGTTATTGCTGTTAATAGCAGCTGCATCCATGTCCGTGACTTGCCGTCTGACAGTTGCGAGGAGTAGCTGCTCCCACTGCTCCGTGATGTCCAACTTCCACTGGTCAGTGTGGAGGTGGAGGACCTCTTCGGCTTGACTGGAACATCACCTAGCAATAACAGCACAACATGGTCATCACTCCAGCACACACTACAAGGGTTTTGTTTGTTAGTTCACTTGTTGTTTAACGCCGCACTCAGCAATATTCCAGCTACATGATGGCATTCTGTAAATAATCGACTTTGGACCAGACAATCCACTAATTAACATCAACAGCATCAGTCTACGCAGTTGGGATACAATCACTACAAGGGTAAAACCCCAAACTGATAATAGGAGTGTTTGAACGCAAAAATTACATGTACATAACAGGTTTTTATGACAAAAAGTATGTGTAAACCTGGACTTAATTTCATCAGATTATGTTTACATACCTTCTGTATCCTCTTCAGAATCCAGACCTAAAAAATAGAATACCATAAAAATTATTTATATGTGAACTATACAAGTTTATGCATGCATTTTGTATGGTGTGGATTAAAACTAGCAATCTGTCCTTACAACAAGTACCATATACATACTCCATTGAATTTCCATTGCTGAATGCAGAGAAATCTCAATAATGATTTGAGCTTGTCCAATTCGTTATAAAATTCCATGGTTCCAGTAAAGTAGCACTTCCTTTCAGCCACTGGGACATTCAAGATAATGATGGTGACAAATATGTAAGAAATGCTACAAAACTGAGCATCCAGTCTTTGAGACTATGTAATTACTAACAATGGATCCCAAATGTGGTGTTTAGGCTGCATAAAGGGCTATGACTATATTCTAAGTTATCATGGTATGATTACTTTGTAAAAAGATCTGTTTTGAACCTTGATATGACCTTCAAGGTCATCTGTCAAAGTGCCAACATGTATGAATGAGAACAGTATTACATGATCTATGAATATATGTTAGTGAAACAATTCTACTCTACATGTTTACTGATTGTCAATTCTAAGGCCTTTTTATGAGACTGGCGCCTAGACTATCAAGCCATGGTTAGCAGGAAGTTGTGGAAAACATGCAGAAGGAAGAGTATAATATAATAATGATAATCATCCCAACATGCAGGGGGAAATGTAAATACATTGAAAGAAAATTTCAAGAAGGATAAATACATAAGCAATTTGCTAAACAAAAGAGCAAAATTACAACAGCACAGAATTGACATGAGTCTTTAGACCCATGAGGTATCATGTTCTATACATTCATCATCATGTCAGAACCTGACCCATGCTGTTATCAGGGAATCCATTTAAAGAAGAAGTTAGAAGAGGCAATAGAATGGAATAGCAGGGTTTCCAACACCAAGAGAAGCTGTCTATACTCGAGCAATACAGGTTCATTATCCTGAGCAGGTTAATGAAGAGTCAGAGGGATTAATGCAACAAGCAGGAATTCTAGTCCTCTAGACTCAAGCAGTTAGCTGAAGCAGATCCGGGTTCCATGAAGAATGAAGTCACTAGCTACCCTCTACCACAGAGAAAGCTTAAGATTCTTACTAAATGTAACTTTGTGACCCTTTGATCTCCTCCTGGCTTTTCTCAATCCACCCTTTCTGTTTCTTGAGCCTTCAGGAATGTCTGTCTCTTCAGTAGATGAACGACCAAGCCAGCCGAACCAGCCTGACCTTTTACTTTCATCGCCTTCCTTTTCATTTTGATCTTCTTTAAGCTTTTCTTCATCAGATCTGCTCAGCCATGAGAAGAGTCTTGATTTTGAGCTGCTGTCAACATCATCATCGCCAGGTTGTTGAAGGTCATTTGAAGCTGCTGGCCGGGCAGTCCAACTAAACCAGCCTGCTCGTGATCCTGATCCATCTTCAGCAACACTGTTGTCCTCCTTGTTATCCTGTGTTTCTGCAGTACTGGTTGACTCTGAGATCCTGTTCCATCCAAACCATCCTGGGTGTTGGTCATCCTCTTCTACTCCATGACTGTCTGCATTTTGATTATCCTGTCTGTTTTCCATCCTTGATCCAAACCATCCAAACCAGCCTGTGTTTGAACTCTGATGATTTGGCTCAGATTGTTCTGCATCTGTGTTTTCAGGAAGGGATGTTCTCTTCCAGTCAAACCACCTCTTCTTAGATCCATCATCCCTGAACTCACCCACATCACTCTCTTTCACCGACTCTGTCTGCCACTTTTCCTTAGTGGTCTTGGACAGAAGATTTCTGAATCTGTTCTTCCAACCTGGCTGTTCCTCAGAGTCAGATTCTTCAACATCAGCATCCGATTCAGCAGCAAGAGATTGTTTCCTTATCTCTTCTTCTTCTGTTGTCTCGGACCTCTGAAACATCCCAAACCATCCCTTCTTGTGTCCTTTAAGATCAGAATCAGATTCAGCAAGAGCTTGTCTCCTTGATTCTTCTTCCTCTGTAACTGTCTCTGACGACCGGAACGTCCCAAACCATCCCTTGCGTCCCTGAAGGTCAGAATCAGATTCAGCTAGAGCACGTCTCCTTGACTCTTCTTCCTCTGTAATGGTCTCCGAAGAGTGAAATATCCCAAACCGACCCTTCCTGCGTCCCTGAAGGTCAGAATCAGATTCAGCAAGAGCTTGTCTCCTTGATTCTTCTTCCTCTGTCGTAGTCTCTGTAGTACTGGACTGGAACATCCCAAACCAACCCTTTTTGCTCTTCTGCTCATCCTTGTCTGTCACATCTTGTTCTTCCAATTGAGATTCCTTTAACCTCTCCTTTTGAGTAATGGTTTCCTCAGTTTGGGATCCTCCCATCAAGTTCCTCACCCCCGAGAACCATCCTGAAGTGTTGGCCGAGTCCACCTCCTCTCCCTCATCTTGCGATGACTTGGCTGGCCTCTGCCTTTTCCTCCCCTCAGAATCTATGTATTCTATTGTCTCTGTTGTAACAACAGTCTTTGTCCATCTGGGACTAAATATCCCTGACAGGCTGAGGGAGGCAGCATCTGTTGATTCTCTAGAGTTTTTATCTATGTGATCAGAAATAACACAATACAAATTTGAAAATGAACATTCAATAGACATTTAAACATGAAACTCAAAAAAATGTCATACCAAGAAATTAACTTAAAGCTGGAAATCATGCTCAAAACTTGAAAGGAAATACAAAGGCAGCAACAATGTAAACTTGATTAAAACAAGACAAATCAATATATAATGAGGTGTTCAATTCGTTCATTGTCACCATAAATTGATCAGCATTACTGGAACTGTGCATTCAACATGTGCAATGATTTAAACTCAAAGGTATAAGCTACTGTAAAAGCGTGATAAGCCCAGATCTGATCAAAAACAAAGAATTCAAAAGCAATTGCATTGTTTTTTTGCAGATGCCTTTTTCAATATCATTAGTAGGTGAAAGTCATTGTTATGTCATCTGCACATGAAACCACAATTACACAACATCTATTGCAATAAACTCAATCCTATAGATATCATCATGCTAACTGTTGTCAAGGTCTATATCTCTTCCTCTTTCCAAGGAAGTCAATGACCATACATGTCATCCCTTTGACCAGTGGCTACAAGATCTTACCATATAGGTGACTGAGTGGAGTGGAATGCTGCAGCTGTTCTGATCTCTCTGTAACCTCGAAATCACTATTCAAAGACCTAGCAAGTGACTGTGATGATGATTGTGATGCTGACGATGACATTGCGTGGTTGCCGTTGCGCTCCAGATAGGATCCAACACCAGAAAGCCGACTTCCAGACCTCAACACCATTCCATCGGTTCTGTAGGTCACTTGACAAAAAACCCGGGAATCGTTTGTTAACCCTTAGTCTAATTCATTGTTAATAGCCCAAATCCTGAGTATGAGACACAACATTTACCTTGACTTTACCACTAAGGCTCTGATACACTAACAATGAGATTTTCATCAAATCCTTTTTTTCCAAAAGCTAGGACCTGGAGACATGGGAGAAGGGCATTTGATTTTTCAAAATACCATTCTCCTTGAAACTGACTGTGCCATGGCTTATCAAATGGAACCAATGTTTTGGGTAGGCAGAAATGAAAATCTCATCATTAATTCAGTGAGACCTTAACTCTACAGCAAGATGTTCTTGTGTTGCTGGGCACAAGTCCATCACGTACACAGTCACTCACCTCGTGAATAGGAACTTGATCTGCTTCTTCCTTCACTGTAAGTGACGTCTTCTCTGTATCCTGACTGCTCCTCCGGAACACCTCTATCCACCATGACCCTCCTCTCCTCCTGATGGTAGGGGGGTGGCGTCTCCATGCCGCTCTGGGAAAGCACATAGCCGCTGGCATGGCTGCTGATCCGGTGCCGGGACATGTTGGGGATTATGTCCGGTTCTCCAGAATACTTCGGATAATGGCTTCCACTGAAGTGAGATAGAACATGAGACTATATTGGGCTATCATCCTGAATTTTTTCTGTAAATCATATACTTCTTAAAACCTGAAATATCTTGCAAAGTCGTGCAGTGAATATCAGAAGTCTGATAATAAAAAATGGTTTCCCGATCTGCCTTGTTGTTATTACCATGGTTATATATTTCCTACCAATATATTTTACTTATTAATAGTATTGCAAATACATCTATCATGAACAATTATAAGCATTATTCAGTGTCATATTACACCAATTACTTATAGTGAAATATTATTTGTTAGTTTGTTTGTTGTTTAATGCCGCACCCAGCAATATTCAAGCTATATGATGGCAGCCTATATGACAATCCAGTGACTGACATCATTAGTATCGATCCATGCAATTTGGATACGATGACATGCATCAACCAAGTCAGAGAGCCTGATCACCCGATCCCATTAGTCGCCTCTTACAACAAGCATAGTCGCCTTTTACTGTAAGAATGGGTTGCTGAAGGCCTATTCAACCCCGGATCTTCACGGGTCAGTGAAATATGAAAGGACTTCTGTGATTCCATATTCATGATTCCCAATATTGCCATGATTACATTTGTACCAGTATAGATCTGTTGACACAAGATAATCGTCAATGTAGTCACAAAATATCCAGTTGTTCCTTACCTGTGAGCGTATGTGTAGTCAGTCTTTGGGTTTCTGGAAAACAAGCACACAAGTTATAGCCCGCCACACACCAGTGTCCTGTATATCCCCATGATAACTATGGTATGACAATAGACTGACTGTGAAACACCCCTTGTGAATGCAGTAGATTCCGCCTCGGTGACCATGCTAATACCTCATTCATAGGAGTGTTGGAGTACACTTACATGATACACAGATGCAGACATACAACATAGGGATGGTCTGCACAACTTCCTGATGCTGTTTTATAATACAATGTATCTTTCATAATCCATGATAACATAACTCCCACTTTCATAATGACAAAAATAGAACAAAAAATATCATATTTCCTGTTTCCCTGACATTTCCTGTTTTTCAACAGCTGAATACTTTCTACATATTCATCAATTTTCAAAATTCTAAACCCAAAATACAAATATTGAAAATTTCAATCAGAAATAGGAGCCATGTTAAAATGGTAGGTAACTTAAATTAATAAAGCAAATTTCTTTTAATTTATATGGTTACACATTGCAGAATCATAAACAACCTGATGATTTGCTGATAAAACTTGCTGGGTATACACGCAGGTTAAACCTGATAAAAAATATAATCATAAGCCAGTTCAACACAACATGTCAGAATGAGGAATATAGTCATGTGGGCACAGTGACATGTTACTCAGTAGCTGTGTGAGTCAAGTGAAGTGCAAGGAGACAGGAACCAGGCACTACATGGGCGAGCAGACTCCCAGTGCAGCTCCATAGCAAGAGGAAGGAAACACCACAATATAGACCACCAGTTGACAATATTCACACTACAAGTGACAGATCTTGCACCGAACAGGGCGTAGACTGGGAGGATATTACATCAACCGTGAGGGTAAGGACAAGGAAGAGGGTGTGGTGGCCAGGCTTAAAACCGACTTCATAACTGCCATCATACAGAGCTTATCCTATTGATAGTCTATATTGTGCACTTACTTTCTTAGTTAATCTAATACATGTCTACTGATATTGATGTGGTGATGCAGACACATTGGTTGTGTCTGGGCAATAATCAGTGTTCAAAATTAAGGGTCTTGGGTCCCGATCCACAAAACATTTGTAGCGTTACGAGCTATCGTAACTATATAGTTTATCATAGACTTGCGAATATCATCGTGCTACAGTGGCCAAGTCATGTTTTAAGTATTTGTAATAATCATGATAATAGCCAATTCCCTTCCACAGATTTTCCCACCTGAACTAGTGTGGCCAAGTCATGTTTTAAGTATTTGTACATATAAGTAAGATATTTTAGATGTTTCATTTTAGCTTTATACTTTACAAACAGTACCCTACAAACACTAAAAACCTTTAGAGTTATACAAGCCCTCAATACAATAAGCCTATCCCTGCACCCTGCATTTAACCATAGCCACCTTACTTGGTCAGGCTAGATTCTGACCCATGCGTATGCAATCAGAACAAGTTTCTTTTGTCTGCCTGCTTTAGTTTCTCTGGTCAGCTTACTATCTATTGTGTATTTAGTTTTAAAGGTTTCTGTCCGGCATATCCTGTTGGCAGTCATACACATTTATTCGAGGAGGTCACTTTGATTTATATTTGATCGTTTTCCTTAATATCAGCCCCTTGCTGATTGTGGATGTGGAACAGTGTGTGCAATCATGAAACTCGGTATTTGTGTATTGAGGATTCCATTATCCAGGTTAGTTTATGTGGTCTTTATATTTCATATTCTGTATATATACTAATAACTAGTATCTCGTCATCCTTCTAAATTAATGTTTTGTGTGAATGTAATGTATTCACAAAGTATTTACAAATGGCAATTTTATATAGTGATTCAGAAATAGTTAACAACCTGCTATTTATATTTAAAGATTTATTCATGCTAGTGCTAATGTGCTAGCTGATAAGATGAAGTCATGTAATTGTGTTTAATCTCCACGAAGGCAATATTATGTTCTTCTACAAAAATACTTATGATGTTTGCTTTATATTTTCAGGGTTTACTATGATTATTATTATGCACTCTGAATAAAGACGGCTGTCATGTGAACTGACAAGTAGCGTCGTGTTGTGTGTGCCCCACCAACATCCACCCCATAACCGCTACTACACTACAAACACTTTGTGGATCAGGACCTGGGGCCCTATAGTTAGGTATTTAAATCTGCACAAATGATCTGTTGGATGGCTTAAATGCCTAATTTTAAACAATAGGCCGATAAACATGATAAGGACCCCTACAACTGTGCTTAATTACAAACACTGAACAAGTGATGATTCTATAACAACCATATTCCTTATGTTAAAGTGATGCTATCTACATGACTCTCGCTAACAGAATGACAGTATACATAATCTATGCCACATATGGCTGAAAATTCTAAAGATTAATAATTCATGATCAACAGATTTAGATGAACAGTTAAGAGTAACTTGAATAAGCATGAAAATTCCTTACAGCAAAGATATGTGCATCTAGATGGACTAAAATCATAAGAACAGAAGATCGCTATTTATGTCATACAGCGAAAGGACTATCATTATTTGTTTAGACATTAATACTAACTGTATAAATAAATCTTGAAACATCTGTACCATGTGTAGTACAAGTGGCCTATATTCAGTCACCCATTAGTCAGTGGCTAATCTCTAACACCCTCAACCATGTCAAGTTAACCCTGTAAATGTAACCTTCTTTGGCTGATCCCAGAACTGAAATGTGAATTTCATCTATCCAACAAACGCAACATCAAACTACTCTCAAAACACTTTATCTCCTCTGCATACATGGCATACAGATCAACTTGACCTTTGATGATGTTGACTGTTGATGCTAAGCATGCATTAGCATGATAAGTAGTTGGTTTTCATCATCATGATCATACTCATCATAATCATGACAACAGTTTTCATGGTTAATAAGCAAGGCAGAAGCTTGATGAGACTGTCCCAAATTGTATGACCATCATTAGTCGCATTAGAGAAGAGAGCAGTAGCTTGCAACGGTTCCAAGGAACAGTATGTACTGTCATGTTATCAGCATCCCAACCAGAGTGAATGAATGCTGTTCTAAGCCACATTCAGCAATATTCCAGTTCTTGGTCAGGCAAATCTTTGCCTGATAGCATCAGCATCAATTTATGCTATCAGGGACCAATGATACACGATTGTCAGTCACCTCAACCCTTATATCAGTTGCATCCAGCTAGTGTTATACCTGTTTATCCTTAAGAAAGTATATCAAGAACTGAAAACATTATAACAATATCAAGGTCATCGGTGGATCAGTCACTGCATTGTTGCTAATTTGAGATTACCGGTATGGATTACAGGAAAATGTGAATAAATTATACACTCTCTATCTGGTTTAGTACTGTAGATAATATTTGCATTTAGACATGTTAGAGCACAGTAAAATATATTTCCAGCTTAAGGCATTTTGAAATTTAAAATAACCATTTCCATTTCAAGAACAAATTCCATAATAAATGAATATCAAAACTGTTTAGCAGAATGAGGATATCCAGGGTTTGTGAGACACAAATGTTGAGATTTGACGCAGAAAAAGAACATACAGCATCCCAAGGGACTCACAATAATATTCATTGGACCTACGGCATATCAAGGGCAGTTATGGGTGTCTGTTATTTCATCCATCAATCATGACCACTATATGGCTGAAATAATGCTGAAGACCACTGTCCACATGATCATTGATTCATTCTAGGCTCTTAGTAATAATCAAAATGTAGAGTACACTACTATTTAATTACTTTACACTTGTACTGCCTGCAAGGACCCTTAAATTAAATTATTGAGGTCCCTTGGACCCCCACTTTTGTAAGTCAAGGGAAAACCCCGCTGTATCTTACTTTGTCTATACTAGCTTGACACCTTTAGATAGAAAGGTAACTATGTGGCTGGCAGCTTCTACCTATCAGTTCAAAGCTAATGTCATACATATCGTTACATGCAGGCTTACATGATTTGTACTAATTGGCAAGAAGTACATCTTCCATGTGTTACCATGGTAACTACATTTTTTTCAGCTTTGAACAATGATATGGTGTCATCAGAAACTGACACCGAAGCTTTATTAAAAATATCTGGTAATAGCCCAAAACATGACCAGCAGATGCTTATTGCAGAAAATATTGGTCTTAAATAATGTAAACAGCGTAATAGTGTGTTCTGAATCAATGAAAACTTTGCTGCCATGACTAAACATGTGAAAGAGCGTTGTTGGCTTCAAAGACTCTTCTAGGAGTGACTAGCCAGTGGGATAGTGTTAATTTCCAAAGCTGTCATAACTGAAAATGTACATGATCTATTGTATTATTTAACGAGTGCTGAAACGTAACTGTAGATTCTAGTTGTCTATACAATGAGTGAATCCTGTCAGCTGTGTTTCATTTGTTTTGCCATCACAGTATACAAGGATTACACTTTCTGGTAAGAAAGCTCTGTCTCATTGTCGACCTTGAGGAATACAGTAGTATGAATAGCTGAGCACAAATACACCAAAGCTTTGCCACACACATTAATAGACTGCATGTCTCCACCTATCTGTCCAACCTTCCAGTACAGACAGTTTTGAGGAACACAACTCCAGAATTGATAACTGACATGTTTCTTGTTTAATACTGTAAGATGCTACAATTCTAAGGTAATTATTCTATTCAGATGTCATCACTTTCACACTACCGACATACCATCAAAACATGACATTTTCAAAAAAAGATTTTTTTTTTAATTTACTAATCTTTCTATTCATTATGAACTAGCAAATTCATCTTTTGTTCAACTTAACATTACATTCAAATATGACTAAATAGCATTATGCAGTATTAAAAAATTAGGATTTCCTTATTTCTGTCAAGGAATTGCTGTTAGGACAATTATTGTAGTTCACCTGCTACAACATGCAGTTATCTTGGACTAGGGAGTCAGCATAGAATGTCTTCAGAGTGGCATTAACAAATTATAGAAGATAAGTGCAGGCAAATGTGGAGGTTTCTCTTTTCTTATCATTATCAGTGCTTCAAGGGGTAGTACACATCATCATGTTCGGTGATTCCTTCATCACCTGTGAGAACATACAGCTGCTGTGCAGTGTAGGGACGACACATCTTTTTTAGTCAGGTTATGAAATTAGGATGTACAGGTTTCGAAATTAAGTGGGTTTTTGGGTCCTTGATGTTTGCATCAATGGTATTTGAACCTAAGGACCCTCTAAATTATAACTTTTAATATTCACCCAATAACAGGGACCCAATGATTTCCAAGCTTATTTCGTAACAGTGTGGTGGCTCATGGAAGTGAAATATACTCCCTAGGGAGCTGAGAATGATGGTTGAGTGCACACTGATCCCTTGACCGGGGTAATAATAGAGTAGCCCTTTTGGGATGCCCCTGTGGCGTGGACATAGCACAATCTAAATAGGCTTATTGTTATTATTTATTATTAAATGAGCAAGGCTATGACCCATGTTGCAAACGTCAAATAAGAGACATTGTCATTTATGTGATGTAATCTGAACTCTCACTGGTGACAGCAAGCACTAGTGTCCCTCTTTGGCAGGATGTGCTGGAAAATGTAGCACTACAATGCTAGGTGGCCGTATGTATTCGCGGGTGACGGAGGAACATTGTGTACACAAACCTATGAAGTATTGATGATGTATGTCGATCTAGGTGTTTGAACATACATCGAAACACAAATATACAAAAGACTCCAACATTTGCCTTCACTTTACATTGGGTTGTGTTCTCTCAAAACATGCATATCATGGGTTTGAGTGGGATATCATGGTCTGAATTCTGCAAAATAAAGAGAGCGTGAGCAAGAATGTGGCTACAAGTTCAATACCTACAGTGAGAATCTGGGCAATCAGTTTGGATAGTTTACCTGTGAGACTGTTCGAGTCTGTGTGGAGGACAAAGCAGCACATTTAGCATATCACACAGACATAATTAATAGCAATCAATCAAAACACACACACACACATAATTACACATCCAAAACAGGGCAACATATTTCTAGCATTTTGGTGAACAAGCTCAGCCATCACAATCTGCAGTGAATCATTGGGAAGTTAAGTAATGATATATTGAACCAAAAGTATCACAATATATTGATTAATAAGAAAATTAGTTATTACGTGTGTGTATAGATAGAAAATATATCATATATATCATGGTATATACACCTACAAACATGTTAGCAATGTTAATGCTAAATACGAACAATCCACTGGCTGATCCATTACACATGTTAAACTTAAATGTTTTCAAATTTAATTTTCTGTCTTCATATTGTCCATCTTAACCATGGAAATCTTAACAAATGTAAACATCTTTGTGGCAATGAACTATTAACTTAGTATCAAAATTCATAAATTTGTATCAATTCTGTATCAACATAAACAATATATCAGTAAATCTATATCCCTTGCATTCAATCATATAGCCGTGATAGCAGTGTTCTAAATTAACATGATTAACGTGAAAGTCAAAACAACCTTCTTCTATTCTTAACAAGCTTAATGACAAATTGCAAGATTTAGATGGTTCCTGGATTAAAAGACTACAGCTGACATTCTAACCAGACGACCAACCAAAAGTAACTCATCTGCAAATATAGATTGTACTTCACATAGCATGATGGAGATCCTTGACCCTGTTGACACCATTTCTATTTTGCTTACATCATTGTACATTGGTAAATTCTTGACTAACGTGACTAAAAACTAATACAACTGCATGCTGAAAGAAAACAATTCGGTTCCATCTATCAATATGACCAAGAAAGGTCATATTTTTATGCTACAAAAAGTATATGGTACGCCTATACATGGTATACTGGTATATGCATACAAAAAAAATAAATATCATGCAGTCTATCACATGACTAAAAATCTGTTTTAGCCACCTAGTAACTGTATGAATTATGTAATTCTAACATCTAATGCAGTTCTAATCTAGTACTGATCAAAAGAGATGACTAGAAGTGAGTGGCACAAGGGAGGCAACTCACATGTCAAAGTACTCCAGACTGTGATATTCATCCCAGGTGGGAGACGTTCGACCACCACGGCTGTCAAATGGGGGTGTCTTTAGCAGGGAATCAACTTCAGAAAAGTCAAATCTGTCCCTGAAAAATACAACAGTACCATAAGTGAAACGTCTATATCATATATATGTCGGAAAATTTAAACCTTAATAGGAATCAAAATGTTCAATGAAACAAAAGAAAATTCCCTGGCTGAATTCACTGTCTGACATGTCTGAAGCACATGAAATGTGACAGAGAATGAAAGTCAACTTGATGTCTGACCTGAAAGTATGGCACATGTGCATGTCCTGAAATATAGATTTATTAAACAAATGTCAACTCAAAGTAAGGATTTTCACAAGCTTGGAAAAAGGTTGGCAGACTGTTTCAGACAGAGTGCAAAGATACATACTAGAGACACATTTGTGTTTCATAGCTACAGGGCATGCTACATTTATCATCTTAATCTTAATCAGTGGTAGAAACTAACATTTTTTGTCCACTACTCCTTTCAATGATAACATTTGCAAAACTCTTAAAAAGGGCAAATTTCTACTACTAGTACTGTACTAGTCCTTATGATACCTTAACTATTGGGAAGTTTGGCAAGGACTATAGGACTAGTGCCAATTTCTAACGCTGTTTATAATCATGATAATAATGATGACCATTAAGCAGGTCATTCAAGTTCACCAGTTCAATATTTCACCTGCAGCAGATTCTGAGTGAAATCAAGGACAAACCTATCACTGACCTAAGCGATGCGGTTCACCTGTTATCATGGTTATATGCCTAATCATGATTTCACTAATCCTAATACATGTTATTTTTTAGCAAGAAAATATATAATAATGTATGTAAGGTAAACTTTGTGATGAATTGTGATAGATAATATAAATTACTAATATGCTAGTGCATGGCGTGTGAATTTCATTATCTTGCTCCTCATAGCAATGAGCTATAATCTTGTTACTATGGCAACGTCCAAAACATGGCAATTTCAATGCAAAAAGATTCCCACAAAATACAGTACAGACAGCGTCTGGCCATACTACATGTACCAGGCCTGTACAAATACCAGCCATAAGCTTGTTTGGTCCCATACATAATCATGATTATGTCTAAGCTATCTGAATGTTTTCTCACCAAGGTCACAAGAAGTATTCACTAGAGGGTTGTGTTGTGTTTTCCCTGGCCAATGAGTCATACAAAACAATGTGACATAAACTGTTAACGTGGATATATATCAAATACTATGTACATGATGTATACTGCAGTAATTACTTTAATAATATCCAAATATGATTATTACCATCATTGCCAGACTCATCAGAATAAAGAAAATAAATTTGAACAAAATAAAAAAAATTCAATTATCTACCAAGGGCGGTTAGTTTTAAATTCTAGACAAATCTCTGAACAAGCTGAATACACGTGAAGATAGTATTAGTAGCCATGGTAGATACATAGAAATTTTTCAAACATTCAATAGATGACTTATCATGTTTATGTCTAGGAAAAGTAAATACTAGTTACTTTCTATAAGTTTAAGGCACAGTTAGCATGGCAAGCTTAAAGATCTGGGCCAAATAAACCAGACTGTTCCATACAATATAAGTGTGTGAGAGTTATGATAGTTGTAGTGTGAGATCGCTCTGTGTCACAAGTCATTCTACACATTGTACGTGTCACAGTTTCATGACTATCCTGAACTCTGGATAAACAACTATATTTCCACCGAGCTCCAGATCAGCTGAAGATTTTTGTAAAATATGCAAAGTACATCCAATTGCCCAATTAATTTTGATTTGCTCGTGTACAAATGAGCATGAATGGTTTCAAGAACCCAATTGTATAACCACGATAACATCACTGCATGATTACCCAATGTAGCCATTTCAGCTGGAACATGCTGAGTCAATGACTGCCTCTATTTCTTCTCACATGTTTACTTACTAATCATATGCAGGCATCTATCATGTACATCTACAATAAATAATGCACCAATTATCACCAGAAACAGCATATAAAGCAACGTTATTTCTAACATTGGATAGTTATTATTGGTTCATAGTTACCCAACGGACTAGACTAGAACCCTGCTACTTGTTTTTACTAACAATCTGGTTAAGATGACTAAACCCAGGGTGTTACCATGGCTACACAACACACAAATTTTGAGATTGGACACAGACAAAGAATTTACTGTGTCCAAAGGAAGCACAATAATATTCACTGTATCTACAGCGCATCTAAAGCAGTTATGGGTGTCTGTCATTTCATCCATTAATCATGACCACTGTCCACATGATCATGGATTCATTCCCGGCTCTAAAGCACTGTACTTATCAAAACATAGAGTACACTACACCATTTCATTACTTTACAGGACAAACATACTGCCTACAAGGACCCTTAAAATTAAATATTGGGGGTCACCTGGACCCCACTTTTGTAAGTCAAGGTAAAACCCTGTAAACCCAGCAGTAGAAACTAACATTTTCGGTCCACTAGTCCTTATAATGATAACATATAGCAAAACCCTTAAAAATGGCAAATATCTACTAGTCCTTACGATACCTTAACTATTGGGCAGATTGGCAAGGACTATAGGACTAGTGCCAATTTCTAACCCTGAAACCACAAGTATGACCAGTCCAGGATGAGCTCTGGACTAGTGGGATTAATTCATAGTGATTACAAAAAGCACTCATAAGCATGATCAGTATGATTAATGTGATCAACAATATATTCACACGAGAATTCAATTTTTCCAAAGGATTTTCAAATAACCTTGATCATGATGATAGCATCATAATGCTTCCCTCATCATCTCATATTGAATTTTCTTTCGGCTGGCATTAACTTAACAATGGCGAGATGCATGGTCATTAATCAAACAGTAACGGCTGTCCCCACTCAGAGCCCGCTGACTTGCTTTCCGCCATGGGAAAAGGGTTAATGTGTACCTGTGGAGACCACGCTTCCTAGGTCAGACTCACCAATAGAAGACAATAACTACCACAAGATCAATACACTTTGAATACAGACACAACCATGTATCGCACAATCAATCAGGCCTATTGAATTAACCCTTGAATAGCATGCAGCCATGGCTTCGAGATGCCTGAATATCTGCCTGTGCACAAAGTGGTGAAGTGGGATGTAAAGGGTTAGTGTTACTAGTGGCGGGTTTTCTGCACTGAAGCCTTGTTTGGAGTAAAACTGAACACGTGTGAACATAATGAAATATCACAATTGCTTCCAACATACAAATAATTGGAATAAAATGTACTATTAAATCTTACAAAAAAGACACAATGACTGTGAAATAAAGAAAACATTCTACGCAGAATCTATGCACATTTATCATGTTTATGCATATGGACTGGCATCAACTGTATTCATCATCATCATCATCATCATCATCATCATACAGTAAGATCCATCAGTCCCACCATCATCATCATCATCATCATACAGTAAGATCCATCAGTCCCACTATGAACTATTGCTAGGATATGAAAACTGCAGCCATGTTAATCATGTTAAATTCTAAAAGAATGCTCACCAATGTCATAGTAAACTGTCCTAGATATTCTCTTTGGATTGCTGAGGATGTTTTTGTTTGCATCTCAACCTGGCCTCCAGAGGAACATGGAACAAACACGAGGGTCTGTGTGTTACATCACATGCCGACCTTCCCCGGTGTCTGCTAATCACCACACAATCACACAAACACTAACAAGCGTTGTTACACAAGGAACAGCTATTGACCCAGCACACAATACAATATTTTAAATATGTCAGTTATTCGAAACAAAATCTGTACAACTATCATGAATGTGTCTATGTAAAATATTAATATTAATATGACAAAATTAAAATGCACAGACTACCACAATAGAACCATGAGTAATAGTGTAACAAGTTCACTGCAAATACATGGAATAGCTAGCTGCAAGATTATGATGTGGCGTTAAACAGTCATCACTAAATCATGTAACGAGTGAGATAGATATAAGTTTTTAGCAAACAATGCTTGTTAAAAGAATGTAAATTATCCCTTTTAACTTGTAGATTTTTAAAACTTGGCCAGTCATCAAAATAGTAGTAAATACAGTTATAGCAAATGGCTTATCTACATACATGATCAACTACTTGTAACTTTTATGAAGTATCCCAGAGACATGAATTAAACATATACATAAAGTAACAATCCCATTACACGTTACAAGCTCGTAGGGACATTATTGAAAAAGATTATCACATGTACTGCTGTGCTCCACCACTAATGCTTAATCTGTTAATAGTACATATAGCATGAATGCACTACACTAATCAATGCTATTGTTTCAGAAGGCCCAGCAGTGTGTTGCGTGAACTGCCACATGTATAATTTGTCACCATGGTCACTGTTGAATTTACTGTCTATGACAGCCTGCACTTATCATCACTGAAATATGGGAAGAATGTCAGCCTTAAAAACATATCACAGCCATCTCCGACCATGCCGACATGTCCATGTCGTACAATGTTATTTTGTACCTTTCTCGAGAAAAAAAACAAAACAAGAAGCACCCACTGAAATAATTTCATCTGCAGTTTACACTCAACTTAAATGCATGATCCTGTGCATCAACACATGTTAAACAGATGTTAAACACTGACTAGGATTCTTGGATCCAGTCATTTTCACTTAGTATTGGACTAAGCTATAATCAGGGATCCGGAAACTGGTCTGTGACTGCAAAATGTCTAATTTGAAATAGTGCAAACCTGACATTTTAAAATTTGTCAACCGAAAATTTTCAAAAAAGTAATAGCAGGACATTACAACCTGAGACCGGATATCACATAACAAAGGATAAAGAGCTGCAACCAGACTGACATGTGTTTTTGTGGTTGATTAGTGTAAACACGACTAGGAAAGTGACACTTGAATTTATTCTTTCTATTCACTGATTCATGCATGAACATCCAGCACCTCAGATATGAGGTCGGCATGGCCAACATGCAAATGTCCGACTGGCAAAAGAATATCTCCGGATTCCAGTTATAATTATGATATGCTTGACATTGTTCACATCAATACACTT